TAGAAACAAAACAAGAAAGGCAGAAGAGGACGAAAACGACAAGTCTCGCGGATGACGCAATTCGCGATGCGTAGAGGGGCTGCTACTTCCTTCGGAGGGCAGGGTGAGGCTCTCATCTGGCATCTCCATGTCGCCAGTTCAGAGCGGAAACGACCGTCCAAAATAGAAAAATACGACATGCGGTCAAAATTCAAAAATAAGTGTCTCCCCGCCGTCGCACCTAGCTACCTCGGGAGTTGCCACTCTTTATTCAGTGGCTTTATTTGTATTTTGCTCCGGGAGCAGGGTAAAATCCAGTAACTTTACACTGTACACTCTATCGTCCTTAGTCTTCAATTCGTCCTCATACCGTCGGCTCCGGGAGAAAGTACATCTATTTCATAAGTTCGTCTAATCAGTTTTTTTCGCTCCAAATATCGTCACCTTCCAGGCAAAGTATCACAAGCGCCATGCGACGTTTAAAAATTTCCGCCGCCATTTTATTTTTTTACTGAGAAATTGTTGGTTGAATCTGTTTGGAAATTTCACTAAATTTTATCGGCAGCACAAAGAAAATTCAGTGAAATTTTCGGACAGCTTCGTTGAACAATTTCTCTGTAAAAAAATAAAATGGCGGCGGAAATTTTTAAACGTCGCATGGCGCTTGTGATACTTTGCCTGGAAGGTGACGATATGTCGATATAATGGAAAATTAGCAGGTGTCTGAAATCTGATGAACTTTGTGTTTAAGTGAAGACTAATGATTGCGTGTGAGCACACGAGGATAGGTTTAATCAAAAATTGAACAATTATTGGAGGAGATACCTATGATAAAATGATCTAATATATGCTGAAATGCATGTGTTTAAATAGGAAATGCTGCCAGATGACGTCAATAGGTTGTGCATTTTTCTCACTTGAAAATCTATATTTATATACTATTTCGAACAAAAAAAAGGAATTAAAAAAATTAAAATAATGTAAAATCAGCTCCTCGAGCACTCTCAGTCGAAGCAATAAAAAAAAATTGCGCGCAAATTCACCATGTCCTAAACTACCTTCCTAAACTATTCGGGGTTTTTTTTTCTTTTTTTCTTTTTTTTTATCAATTTTAATATTTAAACCTGAAAACTTTTCTTCGTCTTAAGCGGCTTCTCGGGTAATCAAAGCTCCCTGCTTTCGTCGTAGCCGTATTTTCTTTGCATTGGTTCTTATGGGAGCCGTACAGGACCGCTGGAAAACGTCGCCTGCTTTTTCGTGGTTGCCTACTAACCGTAATTTGTCTTTTACTGTACCTATACGTAATTGAACATTTTCCATAAATTTAAGAAACAAAATGGACCTCGGACCCTAACCCCCTCCCCCCCAAATTTTAGCGTACCCCAAAATCGTTTGACTTGCATTAGGAGACCATAGATATGGTGTTCTCTACAAATTTTGAAGGATACTGAACAAATAGATTCTGAGATATCGCTGTACACAGATTTGGGGGGCGCCGGACAGATGGACACACATTTTTTCAAGTATGGTTATTTTGACTCCTGGGACCTTAAAACGTTTAGAAATGATGAAATTTTAACTTTTTTTTCCACCCTTGCAGGATGACAATACTTCCTCTGCCCTAGGGGAGCGACAAAGTAAAAAATCTAATAAAAATAAAATATGCTTGCGGCTCTAAAAATGTCTTTCCTCCGAACTGAATTTTTGTTCTTCGAGTTCGCAGCTTTCAATTTGTGTGAACCGCATCCTCGACCGTCGACGTGGAGACACGTGGCAACGACGTGGCGTCCTCGGTGACTGTTGCCGTTCGAGGAACAAAGAAAACAAACTGCTCGCCAGGAATTAACTAATTGGTTGCCGAAGCATACGGGGGAGGAGACGCGCGAGGGAGGGTCGAGGGGGTTGAAGGATGTCGGAGTTAAAATTGTCGCGTGGCGGGCGTCACTTGGGAAGAAGCGAGAGTAACAGCCTGAGATGATCCTCTCGGGTCGATTATGGAATCTCTATCGAACGAACTTGTTTTATTTATTTTTACTTCATCTACATTAGAGTACATAAATGACACAAACATAGTGTCTAAGCATGCACTTGTCAGTGGAACCCCCCAAACTTTACCCTATAAACGTCATTATAAAAATCACGTAGAGAATAAAATGCCTTACAAACCAATAAAGGTTTTTAACCCCTCAAAAAAAGCGTTAGCTTCCCTGATAAAAATTGGCGATAGGAGCTGCGTTTCAAAATACCATAGGAGTATAGTCGACTAAAGAAGGCTATTGGAAATCATATAGTTGGCTGTAGAAAGCGGAGCAAATCGTATAGCCGGGCTATACGAAGCTATAAAAAAGTATACAGTCGGGCTATAGTTCCTATCGCCGGACTTTACACTTTATCGCCATTGGCCATAAAAGGCTATAAGAAATTGTGTAGAAATTCGTGTGCTTTGGAAATCATTAAGTTTGATACGGAACTACCTTGATATTTACAAAACATCACATTATATTTTCCTTTAAAACATATTTTTTTTCATCAATTAAAATGAGAATTATCCATACAGAGTGTGCAAACATTTCAAAATCATGAGTTGAAAAACGGTGACTCCGCGAGATTAAATATTAAAGCGGAACGGAGCGGCGACGCACTGGCGCCTACAAACCTAACAGGGATACTTCACGCATTGCGCAATGCGTGAAGTATCCCTGTTAGGTTTGTAGGCGCCAGTGCGTCGCCGCTCCGCTTTGTGTTAGGCTCTAATATTTAATCTTGCGGAGTCAGCGTTTTTCAACTCATGATTTTGAAATGTTTGCACACTCTGTATGGATAATTCTCATTTTAATTGATGAAAAAAAAAATTGTTTTAAAGTAAAATATAATGTGTGTTCTGTAAATATTAAGGTAGTTCCGTATCAAACTTAATGATTTCCAAAGCACACGAATTTCTACACAATTTCTTTTAGCCTTTCATAGCCAATGGCGAAAAAGTGTAAAGCCCGGCAATAGGAACTATAGCCCGACTGTATACTTTTTTATAGCTTCGTATAGCCCAGCGATATGATTTTCTCCGCTTTCTACAGCCAGCTATATGATTTTCAATAGCCTTCTTTAGTCGGCTATAAGAACTCCTATGGTATTTTGAAACGCAGCTCCTATCGCCAATTTTTACCAGGGCCTCCCGGGGCTCATGCAGAGGCGGATCCGGCAATTTGGCAACATCGGCTTCCCTCCATTTAAACCTATGTTAAATAATCGATTCTTGTCGGAGGACCTGGCCCCCTCAAGAATCGATACATTTCCATAGGTTTAAATGGAGAAGAACAATGTTGCCTATTTGCTAGATCCGCCAATGGGCTCATGCGGTAATAGAGATACGCCCTCCAGCCAGAGGAGAGACGTTATCTCCAGCTCTCCTATGATATGCATTTTACTTTTCTTGGGGATTTCGATGCTATTCTAGTTAATATCCGGACCCAAATTTTATCATAGTTTCCCTCCCCTTTCATAAATTTCCCCAAAAAACTTTTGCCCTCTCCACCCCCACCCCTTAAATGTGGCTGAAATGATGGCGCTTTGCGTAGAACGAAGAAAGAACAGTAGAAATTCCCAGAGGTAATTCACATACGTAAGTTATCCTCCAAAATAGTAAAATTTACCGGGAAATCTGCAACGTCGCGATCGAGATGCGCGATTTTAAACTCAAACTTTTCTGCGGTGAGCCCCAGAGACATACCCTTCGCGGCACACTTCGGATGCGACGCACAGTGGATCGAGTCAATAGGAGAGGTCGAACGAAATTTGGAAACTTTAAACGCTTTTAACTCTGTTCATATAAAACTCTGAGGTTCTAAAAGTGGTTCCATTGGTTTTCTCGTGAAATTCTCCTGTAGAAGCAATCTTTAAAACTTGAAATGTGATGAAAAAAACATTAAAATTTGTTGTTTTAATCAAAAACTTCATGTCCGACCTCTCTAATCGACTCGATCCAATGTGCGGCGGTGTGCTGCCGGCCGGCGTCATGCAGGAAGAATAAAAGGTGTATTCATAGACGACGGAGGGAAAGGCATAAAAACAAAACCACGCAACTCCAACGAGAACCATATCCCTATACATACGCGATTCTTACCGTACCACGGCAGCACACTGGCGTGGTACGGTAAAGAACCGCATGAACATCCGAAAGTTGTCAAATTTCTTCCGATAAAACCAGATTTTCCACGAAAACCACTAAAATTTTTCATTCGGATTTTTTACAAGCTTTTGCATTCAATTTGATCTAGTTTATGAGTAAATTCTGTGGAAAAATATTCACAACGTTTCCTCGGAGGTACACAATTTACCAGGGGCCGAGTTGTGGCAATATTTCAATGCGCACAGGGTGTTCTTTCTGAGCACGAGAAAGCCACTACCGTACTATGGAGAAAAGCCGTACAAGAATTCAAATATTGCCAAATTTACCACAATCATGTATTTATTTTTGAGGAAAGGTGCGAACTTTCCTCTATGAAATTTTTAAAAATTACAGGTTGAATTGCGAATGGAATTCTCCTAAAATTTACGAGAAATGCATTCTCAAACTTCTCAAAAACTGTGTGTGCTAGAAAAGAAAACGCGGCAATATTTGAAGGCTCATATGGCGTTTTAGATGACGGGAGAGCACTGCCGTGCTAAGGAAGAACCCCGTATCAACTTCAAGAGTTGCCAAATTTCCCGGGATAAAACAAGAATTCTTGAGGAAAGTTACGTTTGTTTTTCTTTGAAATTTTCAGATATTTTAGATAAAATTGCGTAAAAAAATTGTCAGAAAATTGTGGAAAATAATATACGCAATTTTCCCAGGAAATCCGGTTTCCATCGGAGAGAACTTGGCAACGTCTGGAGGCTCATACGGCGTTTTTCCGTAGCACGGCAGAGTAGGTGATGGTGATTCACTTTTGGCGGGGTGCCAGAGCGGGGCTCCCAAGTGTATTAGTGGTGCCTCGCACGGGGCACGGGCGAACGAGAGAGGGCCCGCCAGCGCCGCGCCGCGCGCAGTCCCGCCAGACAGCCGCCGCGGAGCGCCGCGTTTTGCGTCACGGTCGCGCTGCACTTCAAACGCCGGGATCCGACTTCAAAACAGGGGTGTCCGAGTGCCACACCAGCTGAAGTGCCGCACTAAGTGCCACACGCGGAATGTCTTCTAGAGTGAGGAACCTGAGCGCCTCAAAGTAGCTTTCGCATTTGCGTCGCGTGCGGCCGGATATCGGACTTGAAAGTGTGAGTGTTGCAGATTTTGCGTGGAAACAAAGCTGACGAAAAAAAGCTGCAGTCGGTAACAGGGTTCATTCTTGTGTCGGTTTTGAGGATCAAATCCGACTCCATACTAAGTGCCATACTCAGTGCCACGCTAAGTGTTACCACTTCGCGCCGAGACCAACCTTTTACCTATCAAACCGGTTTTTTGCTTGAATTCCACTCGCGTTATGGTTCGATCTTAGACAAGTGCCACCACTTCGCGCCGAAACCAACCTTTTACCTATCAAACCGGTTTTTTGTTTGAATTCCACTCGCGTTATTGTTCGATCTTACACAAGTGCCACAAACTTCCGTGACAAAAGCTTTCCAATCAGAAAAAAGATACTTCTAATTCCGTAAACCGGCTCTCCCCTAGAGTAGAGTCCAGGCTAAATATCCTCAGTGTCGATACGGACGGTTTACCGGGAAAACCTTAAGATTTGTTACCTCCTCGTTTGCCGGTAACCTACTTAAATCGTGGTTAGCAGAAAAGGTTCAGGTTCGATGTCTCTTCGTAATAACCAGTTTTCTACTAGAGTCAGGGACAAATTTCGGTGTGAGTGCCCCCCCCCCCCCCCACTTTTGCGCCGAAATGGATGTTTACGCAAAAGGAACATTAACGATCGACGTTTTCTCATACATCGGGTTTCTGCTTTAGTTGTACTTAAATTTTGGATTTTGAGCTCCCTACACATATTGTAAAAAAGACCGCTCTACTTAAGAGGAAAGAATCTCAAGGTTTAACACGATGCCTCCTTTTGACCGGTTTTTAACTTGAGTCGTCTAGTCTGACCTCGTCAAACTCAGTGCCTTACACATCGCATCCATGAAAATACTCAAGAGGTGAAAGATTTATGGAGACGAGTATCTATTCCAAGTAGTGTAAAAATTCGCAGGTTTCAAGTTTGTTAAGGATGGAGTAATCAAAATTACTTTCAAATCCGTCTGTAATAATATCTAAATTAACCGTCTTTGATCAAATGGAAGCAAAGGAAAAAACCCCCTATCATTTCATGAAAATGATTAAAATTTCTAAAATATGTTCGTGTAATAAATCGACGCTGGATCAAGAGGAAACGTAATTTTTTTTAAAAAACTCGTTTAGACTTACGAGCGTAGACATTTCAGTGTTCATGTCTTGAAGGCGGTTGTCATTGTATTAATGACACAGCGTTACTTATTCCTTTCTGGCGGACTTAAAAGACTGATCCGCCGACACCATGCGAAATAGCAAAGGTGCAGGCCTTGAGAAGAATTGCACACGTTCCAATGAAGATTTAAATTGGTTCTTGGAGCAAAACCAACCACTGAATCCTATCGATAAACGCTCTTGCAAATGTAAGTACCACCCCTATCGTTAATCTTAAAGAGGTAAATTCACAAAAAGTTTGAAGGTATTAAGTAGTTGATTTCTCTGTACAAAAAAGAAAAAAAAGAATAAAATTAAATATGAGAGAAAATTAGGCAACGTGAAACGCACTGTGGCTGACATCGATTAAATACGCCCAATCGGACGAATTTCTGTCAAACGGAACTATGTGCATTATAACGTGAGTCCTGTTATGCATGGATTCTTATGGGTCTCAGGGCTCATGTCTTAATGCACATAGTCCCGTTTGATAGAAATATGTCCAATTATAGGTATACTTTGATTGAAAACGCCTACCGAAGCTCACTGAGCAGGTGTTCTCAAGAAGAAAGAGATGGCTACAAAAATAACTAGTTTAATTCAACCTCCTTCAACTTTCATAGAGAAGCACAGTTTTTAAAAGCATCATTAAAGCCCACGACTTAAAATTTTATCGCACACTAAAAGAAAATATACTTGCTGGCTTTGTAGACGTACCGTCCGTTTCGAGGTCAGAGGCAGAAACTTCCGGGTGCTGCAACCGTAGCTTCGACTGCTCGGAGTTCAGTGACCGGAGCGAAGACTGCTACACCCGGAACTCTCTGCCTCCGACCCCGAAACGGCCGATGTGGTCGGTAAACATAGCCCGAAAGTGCACCATTCGGGGCCTTTTTCCACCGAATTTTTTAAACTGACTCCTATTCTTATCATGCCTCTTTTTCGAAGCCGTACAACCAAAACTATGAGCAACTTTTTAAATTTTTTTGCACACACCGCGCCGGCCGCGAAACTGGATTGTAGACGTAAGGGCTTGTATAATTGATTACAAGTGAATGAAAATGCTCATATTTCACGAATCGCACGCTTTGTGTATGGGCGGTTTGCGTGCGGCGGGGAAGATTAGATCCGAGAAAGTCGTTAAAAATTTAGGTACCCGATGAGGAACCTGCCTGCTTCTGAATCGCTGCAAAGTTGCCAAATTTAAATGTTTGAGAATCGCCAGTTTCTAAATCGAATGCCGAATGAATCACGGGAAAATGGGTGGCTAATGCCGGGGCTTTCAGAGTGAGGGTGAACCTACCCTGGTAAAAATTGGCGATAGGAGCTGCGTTTCCAAATACCTCAGGAGTTCTTATAGCCGACTGAAGAGGGCGATAGAAAATCATATAGCTGGCTGTAGAAAGTGGAAAAAATCATACGGCCGGGCTATAGTTCCTATCGCCGGGCTTTACACTTTATCGCCAGGCTGTTGCTTTTTCGCCATCGGCTATAAAAGGCTATAGGAAATTGAGTAGAAATCCTTGTGCTTTGTAAATCCTTAAGTTTGTACGGAATCACCTGAATATTTATTTACAAAACGCACATTATATTTTCCTTTACTACATATTTTTTTTCATCAATTAAAATGAGAATAATCCATACAGAAGGTGCAAACATTTCAAAGTCATGAGTTGAAAAACGCTGACTCCGCGAGATTAAATATAAGAGCCTAACACAAAGCGGAGCGGCGGCGCACCGGCGCACATTGGTTCCAGGGCCCGATCTAGGTGGCATTAATTAGAATATCACTGATGATGAAATGTTATATATCTTTCTAGGGGTTCTTTGGGTCGCTAATTACGAATTTGAAGTCAATTTGACTGTATCATTTAGCATAAGGTGGCAAATGTGTATTTAGCTTGAAAATTCATACTTAATACTACATTAATAATATTTTAACATGGCTGAATTCCTGGACTGATATATTTTTCAACCTTTTTTGATTTATCATCAAAAACTATCGATGAATTTACGAGGATTTGTCCTCTAATTACTAATTTTNCATCGGCTATAAAAGGCTATAAGAAATTGTGTTGCCGGCTATAGAAGCTATTGGAAATCTTACAGCCGGCTGTAGGTCTATGGTATTTTGGAACACAGATTCTACTGCCAATTTTTACCAGGGTAATTTCAAAACTGACGAGGATTCTCATCAATGAAAGGGGTTACATTTCATTATGTTTTGCTACGTCGCGTCGAGGAACCAATTTTTCTGACGCATTCCAGAGATAGCATTTGGATTCTGTTTTGAAACATGGCTAAACTCTGTAGCAAGCAGGGCCGGATTTACTTACTTGCCGCCCATGGGCCGCCTGTGTTTTGCCGCCCCATTCTCATTTGTTTCGAAACATCAATAAAAACCATCAAGTGAACGTGCCGGAGGGGGAGGGGTGTATAAGACGCGTTTACTCGTATTGGACACATTTTTTTGCGAGTGTCCTGTCAACACTACTAGCAAAAGTTTACGGAACTTTACGCGAAAGTTAAGTTCCGTAAACCTATCTCTGTGTGGACAAGGCCTTCCATTTACAAGAAATGAACGAAAAAATTATGAAAGAACGAACATAAATGCGGTTTAATAATTTTAACCTCCGCCGCTGCGCCGCGCAGACCGCACCGTGTTGGACGCAATGCGTGAAGTATTCACGCATTCTTGTAGGCGCTATGCGTTTCACGCTGACCGCACTGTTTGGCGCAATGCGTGAAGTATTCAAGCAGTCTTGTAGGCGCTAATATATGTTACATGCCGACCGCCGCGCCGAGGGTTTCTCCTTTTCATCTCAAGTTCTCGTCATCATTGCTCTCTGCGCCGCGCCGTTCCAGGACAAATTCCGTGTTCGGTTTCTCTCTCAGTCTTCACTGGACTAATTGGACTACATTTTGCAATCTGGAACTATAAATTCTAGCCCGATTTAAAAACAACGTATGTGCTATTAGTTTCCCTATGCACATAAATGTTTTTCCAGATGAGCCAGAATTTATAGTTCCAAATTGCAAAATGCAGTCCAATTAAAGGTGCTGTCTAATGTATCACAGAAAGACGACAAAATTAGAGATATACTCTCAGGAAATGAGATATTTTGTCACCTTTTCCCGTTTGTATTTGTTTTTCTGAATCCGATTTTTCTTTATACCTACATTTAAAAAAATTGCAAAATTTGCCGCCATGGGCCGCGGCCCATGCGGCCACCCCCTAAATCCGGCCCTGGCAGCAAGCGCGAGGAGGGGATTTTATACGTGGACAGTTAGCCTTCGCTTTACCAAGTATGCACTACGAACTCTTATGTGGCCGAGTAGAGGTATCACCTACGCCTATCGTGATTGCTAAATCATATCTATAGAATTCTCTTTAGCGAGCGCGGAAAGGTGGTTTCGTCCGTAAATGGTTCGCCTTCACGTTACTAAGTAGGCACCACGAGCTCCCACGTGGCCGAATGGTGGTTCAAGTACACATGTCAATCCTGTCATGATTGTAGGTATTTAGAGAGGATAGACAAAATCACAGCTAAAAGATGATTTTTTCGTCTGGAGAAAATAATATCTAGTACTTTGAAAGCATGAGACATGAAGAATAGTTTGGATCGCGTTAAGCAGAAAGGAATCAATCCATTCCAGCCATTGCCAAATTTAACTGGGCAAATAAATTTTTTTTTTTAGATAACGGTTATGCGGATTTTTTAGAAAATTTCAGAAAAATTTCTGCACAGTCTGAAAGAAATTCCTTGAAATATTCGAAGGAATCCGCACGAAAATTCTCTTGTAAATAATTGAATTGCCCAGTTAAATTTGGCAAGCTGATGTGGCTTGGCTCTTTTCTGCTAAACGCAGTCCGTTTAATGTAGTAAGCGACTTGATTCCATGCTTAAATAAAGTCCCCTACTGGCTGTACCTGCGCTTGTAATTTTTGTGTGGTGTAAAGTTAATCTTTGAGTGTTGGTTTTATGCAGGGAAGATGAAGAAAGTCTGCCTGAGCTCGGCCGGAAATTGCGCTTGTTCAAAAAGCGACGACATAAATATGAACGTAGTTCCTCGTCAAAGCACGGAGAGCAGCACGAGCACTGAACTTCACAATCATTCCTCACACTCCTCGGAGACGTCCTACCAGCAAGAGTCGCTGCATCCTTACAATCGTTTCTGTAAGTTCATCCTTAATTTAGAGTATATCCACAGGGAGATTGTAGACACATGACCCCGCAGAGGCTATTTAGTCAATTTTAAAAGTTACCACCTCCCTTTTATCCCTCGAGGTGAACCGATTGCATGAGGACCTCAGAGCCGTGAAATTTGGATTCCTTGGGGTCAAATCCTTATTCGTTGCTGCAGTTTCCGACTTCGGAATAAAATAGTCGGTGCTGATGACAGAGCCTTCTGTTCACAGGAATTCTGCACTTTTCTTTGTTAGGTAGGGTTACAGAACTTTTCTATTGTGAGAACAGAGTACTCTGTCCTCGTAAAAGAAACTTCTGTAGCTGTAACAAGAAGTGTGCTGGAGCCATATGAGCAGAGCTATTTTTTTCAATGCTACTGGAAAAAACCGAGAGATGTTCCTGGCACGAGTGGTCTAGGACATCCTACAGAGGATGAGATTTGCCATCACAATCCCTCTGCAACGGGAGGAATTTCCGAATGTTTGGGCTTTCGTGCAGCCCTAAAGATGACACAGATCAAGCACCTATACTGAGCAATTTTTAATTTCAAACTTCAAAAATGAGTCTGTAACAATCTTACATGATGGATATTTAAAGTACCTTATGACGGGTGGAAAAATCAACCCTTTATTTTTGGTTTCATTGGTTTTGAGGAGATAGACTGTCATAGAAACAACCACAGCAATTGCCTGCGATTTTAATTCATGATTTAAGGCTTAAACATTTTAAGCAGCTGAAGCTACTTCAAAACCGATAACCATCTGATTCCAGTGGAGATAGGGTATCGTGTAGTAGAAATCCGCACGTATTGAATATTCTTCTCACGGGGTGCCATAAATGGTTATTTAAAGCGCGCCAAAAATCGTCGTTTTCAACTCATTCCATTCTCTGTTCGTCAAAACAGTTGAAATGTCCGTTGTAGGATCGTAAATCAATAATTTTTTTTTCAAATTGATGTTATATAAACTTTCCGACAAATGCGTATTTTGATTTTTATCCCTTAAAGTGCCCGGGACTTGATGTACGGAGTGTCGAGGGCTGGAACCATATTCATTCATGTGAGTTTATCATATTTGACGCCAGTTTTTAGCAATTATGCTAAAAAATGAATAAATGAAAAGAAACATTTCCTAAGTCCCGCCCTATCATAGTTGTATAGACGATGACGTAAATGAGTGTGGATTGTAAAATCAAACAACTGGTACCTACAATGAGTGAACTAAAGTTCCCTCTTGTTATAAAATATTTCCTTATCAATTTTGCCGTGTAATGTAATTTGCAAGAGCATGAATTGAAGGCGCTTTGTAATCTGCAAAGTACGGCGACTTCAGTCCTTCGCGAGGATAACGCAAAGATTCGTAGAATCTAGTGTTCGCTCATGAGTCAGTGAAACTTCAAGCTATGTTGCATCATGGATTAGAATACTGAGAGAAGAACTAGTGTAATGGTACACTTCAGTGGTGTGGCGTGCTTTGCGATATATAGATTGATCTTCTGTCATTTAAACCTATTGAAAAGGATCGATTAAAGGGCGTTTGCAGTGAACACCTTAATAATCGATTCTTTACCACGGATTCAAATGGGGGAAATATCGATAATCGATCATTTACGCCACACCTTTGGTACACTTGAGTTCACCGCCAAATTTTCAGACAATTTATCGGTTGGATACACCCTCCTAAGCAGAACAAATAAACAGTTGTTTTCCTTTCAATGAAACATTTTGAAAATTTGATTGAATTTCTATCAAAAAAGGGCTACTAATCTCTAAACTTCATGATTTCAATGCGCTATTCAACTCGCACATCAAATTATACATGGGTATCTCTCATTTATCAGTAGAGGTAAAAACCTATGCACTGTGTGGCACTTGTGGCAATTCTGTCTCGGGTCAAAGTAGTAGCGTTAGGTATATTTACGAGTTAATTTAAACTTAAATAATTTACTTAGGCCGATACCGAAAAGTGCATATTGACAGAGTTGTCTAATTTAATGGCGATTTCAAATTTCTTACACACCCAGCAAAAGATCAAACCATTATAGCAAAGTGAAACCAGTATATCCTAGAGGTTTCTTTATAAAACTGACGGAAGCACTGAAATATTTAAAATCGAACTCATAAAAGGTTGATTCAGATTATTTTTATTTATTTTTTTTTTTATTCAATCTTTTTACTAACCGAGACCAAATTCTACGCCAATTATTTCAGGCACTAAAATAATTCCAGTTTCCTTCACAATTAAATGTTTTTGGAATGTGTGGAGGTTTCCTCGGCCCAATTACATGATAGGAGAAGGAAACTCGTGCGACTCGTTTTTCTCTAAGTCCCTAAAAATTTTATGACGTTTAATGAAATTTTCTCAGCAAACGTGAATATTCCATTCCGTAGAATTTCATCTTGGTCCCTTTCTCCAACCCCTTCATGTAACAATGTACTGAATGTACATATAACATTGACACACCGAATGACGTAGTCAATAAATCAGTCTGCGACGTGGCAACATTGTTATTGGATTGATGCTAGTGCAAAGACCCAGCTGTCTTCCGCTCATGATCCGCGCTTCAGTTGAAAGAATGTTTATTTGGACCGTTTGAAGTTCAATGCTTCTTCTCTCTTGGTTCAATACAGAACTCTGCAATGTTATTTTTGATGATTTTTTTTTTTACTTATTGCTTCCTGTTGCCTCGTCAACACTTCTCTCACATGATTAGTGTATGCGCAGACGCTAGGATAAAACGCATCACCCCAATCCTAGCAATGATTTTTGTATATGTTTCAAAATATTCGAAAATTTTAAATGGTGAGCGCTCACTCAAAAATTCCTCAAAGTAGGCATGCAAGTATTAAATCTTTGGTCAACTTTTTTTTTCAAAATGAAAATGAATGAAACAAAGAAGGCTTTACTGTTTTGTACATTTGAAGATCGTCAAATGTTATAAGATCGATCATTTTAAGGGCCACTGTTAGAAGAGACAGCTTCCTTAATAAAATTAGAAAGAAAAATTATTTTTGTTTGATACATATTTTAAAAATTATATAAACTCTAAATCTTAAAAAAAATAATAACAAATACCAAATACCGAGGAATTATTAGAAATTTTCAAAATTAGGTAGATCACCTGGTGATTTGCCATCAGGTCAGTGACGTACGAAAATAAATGCAAAATACATTTCTTTACGAGAAAGGACTGCGCATTTTTCCCAATACCTAAGTAATTGCGTTTTATTGAAAACTGCTTCTTCCCCTAACGGTAAACAATGTTCGCTGGATATTTTTTAAATGCACCTCGCAAAATGAAGTTGCAATAAAATAAATTGCATTTGACTAATTCCAACCAACATTCACTCCGAACTTCTCTACACAGCGGACGAAATTATTTACACTTGGCGTAACATACCACGGAAGACATAGACAGTGGACTCCCCAAACCACGTATCTCTGTATGCGACTTTGCAGACTTTAGGCCATCATTTATTTCCTAAATGGAGAGCTATTCAACGTTAATTCTCAAAAACTTCCGTGATTGTTCTCCTCTTTGCGGATTAAATCCTGTATAAACTTAAAGGAATTATGTTCATTTGCTCCTCTTTGAAGGAATAAAACAGAAGGTGGAATGTCTGAAAGCCGAAACGAGATGCGTGGTTTGGGGGTTTCACCGGCAAAGGTTTGAAGGTAGCAGTGGCGTGGCGTGAATAATCGATTATCGATATCTCGCCATTTGAAACTATGGTAAAGAATCGATTACTAAGGTGTTCGCTGCGAACACCCTGTTTATCGATCCTTTTTCATAGGTTTAAATGGCATAACAATCGATATATCGCAAAGCACGCCATGCCACTGGAAGGTAGGAGCAAAGAAGGAGGCAGAGTCCACAATTTTATCCCTTTGCTCGGTGCGAGTGTGCGTTACTTGTTTGTTTACTTTGACTGATCTGCATTCGGCTCCTGCAGCTTCGGAAATAATCGGCGCACAGTGGATCGAGTCAATAGGAAAGATCGGACAAAATGTGGAAACTTCAAACGCTTATAACTCCGTTTATACAAGACTTTGAGGCTCCAAAAGTGGTTTCATTGGTTTTCTCGTAGAATTTCCTTCTTAAACCACCCCCTGAAACTTAAAATATGACGAAATAAACGATCAAAATTTGCAGTTTAGTAAAAAAATTGATGTCCGACCTCTCTAATTGACTCAATCCACTGTGTAGCGTTTCAACGAATGCATTTGGATGCTTGGAAGAGAGTCGTTTGGACTGTAATGAACAAGCCTAATTCGTCGCTACTCTGTTGGACATAAACGCATATCTCGATTTACACGTGAGTCTTGTTCTCCGCGTGTGACTCTAGGCTTGCCGGGGGTCAAGTGGAAGTGAAGATACGCCCTTACTTTCGAAGAGCGAAGAAGTGAGATGCTTAACGAGCACAGGATGTTAATCAACGGTGAAAACCTCAAGTTGGCCGATCCCTAGCCCGAGTGGTAACTACTGATCACGTCACGGTGTTTAAAATGAAACCGCGTGATTGAAAGGGGGGGGGCAGGAAATTTCCTCCCACGGGAAGAAGATCTTCTTGACTCTTGACTCTTGGAGAGTAAGATATTTAAGTTCAATTAAGAGTGGGATGAATTTTTCAAAATATTATTTTTTAAAGGAAGGGAAGGGAAGGGAGGGGTACTATTTTGGACGAATTCAGCTCAGCAGAACAATTTTGAGCTCTAATGAGGTAGTATCCTCTCCCCCCCCCCCCATTCAGTTTTGTACTGGCTCTTAGCAGTACCTTCATGGCCATTTGTATCTTTTTTACTACAGGAAAACTGTGCCGCTTTTTGATCGGTCAACGCGTTTTTCGGCTCCATGATACTCTTACGGACGTGAATAAACTAACAAGATGGCGACTCACCGTAACATCGATAAGAGGCTAAAAGTTGAAATTTTTTTTCAATTATACAGCAGTAACAATTTAAACTGTCATATCTGCGAATAACACATGAAAAATACATGAAAACACTGTTGAATCGCCTTCCGCCTTTGTCACGGGAGGATGTGATAACCTCAAACTTGCTTGCTGATAACAGCCAGAGACGCAAGAGACCCTCCACTGGCCTCTTGGCGACAGGTGGAAGCTTTTACTTTCGGGGATTCAACAGTTCCTTATGGACAATTATAAGGGAGCAACAGTCATCACCCTAATTTCGGCTGTTGACCTACCTACATGGTCGATGATGAGCTTCGGGTGACGTCATGAGCCAAACAACTGTCCCAAACGTCGGCCATCTTCGGCTTGTTTGCAAAACGAAACTGCCAACACGTTGTTGAAGATCAACCATGTAGGTAAGTCAACAGTAGAATGCTGAAGTCCCGAAAGTAAAAGCTTCCACCATGGCCAAGATACTAGTGGAGGGTCTCTTGTCTCTGATAACAGCCATCTTGCTTTTACGGCCGTAAGAACATCGTGTCAGCCTATTTTTTCACGACCAATGAAGAACCGGCACAGAAATGGCCATCCTCTGTCTATAAGGATACTCTATTCAAATCTACATCCATGTCTATAACTACATCTGGGTGTCTATATCCATGCGTATGGTTGCAGATAGCGAGGTGCAGTCGGTGGCGAAGGTGACGTCAGTGCTGATAGAGCGCGAGGAGGACACGCACACTTTGGGGATTACGCTACGCGGCGGGGCCCACCCCACCCGCCCCCTCCTCTCCCGCTCCCTCACCATCACGAAAATAGCCCCCGGCGGACCCGTTGACAAGTAAGCCCTCAAAACCAGAGATATTAATCACATCCTCAACGCGTAACCCTCCGTCCCGCATCTTTTTCATACTTCTCAATGAGCCGTGCGCTGCACCACATTAGAGTCCCTTTATACTGAGAGTCAAGACAATGTGAATCCATTTCTGATTGGTTCCCGTATTTTAGGCCCTCACAGTAGCTATGTTTATGCGAGCCTCTTAACCTAACTTCAATCGAAACCTGAGTTTGAAACCAAGGTTCAAATCACGGCATAAACGATACGGAACTAACGAAATGTAGGTTTCCGAAATTTGTNTGGGCCGATCAAAGATTACAAAGAACGTTCAATTTCTGTAATCTTTATTCCCGTTTGTGACTCCATGAGGGGTGTTGTCTTGACTCTCAGTATAAAGAGACTCTACACTACATCAGTGGCGTGGCGTGAATTGCGATGTATCGATTGTTATGCCATTTATACCTGTGGTAAAGAATCGATTATTAAGGTGTTCGCTGCGATCGCCTTGCTTATCGATCCTTTTCCATAGGTTTAAATGGCATAACAATCGATACATCGCAATTCACGCCACGCCACTGCACTACATGCCACTGGGGCTACAAATTACCACTCACTGCGCAGTGCACAAGTTCCACGTTCGCGGGTAATAAACTTGTGAACAATGGTTATCAAGAGTGTAACTAGGGTTTTCTTTTGAGAAGCGGGAACTTTTCTATGGAGTTTCTGGAAAAATTCACCCAGACCTGAAAAAAGGATCCGGGAACCTCTCCCGGAAAAGATGCAAAATTTAAATGTATTGAGAGAAATTTAAGATATTTTCCCAAAAAATCTATAATTAAAGGAGTTAAAAGATGAAAGAAATATCTTTCAGTCAGTAATTTTGTAAAAACACTATACAGTGAAATGCGGAACACATTTCATACCAAGGCGCCCAAATTAGACTTTTCAAGCAGAGCGGATGTATTTGTCTTAGGAAATTAGCAATCGCAAGCAAATCGCAATCTGCTTGTGATGAATAAATAGATGTGAGATTCGATCGGTTCACGTTTTTATTTTTCGATCGATTTATGTCGAGCGAATCCATACCCTTCGCTTCGTCGAATCCATACCCTAGCTTCGAAAGGGATCATTGATCAAATGAACTTCATTTTGCAATTAGGAACAACAATTTCTGACTACGTTTAGGAACAAAGTATGTACCATTAATTTCCTTATGCACACAAGCGTTTTTACAGGTGAGCCAGAAATTGTAGTTCCGAATAGCAAAATGTTGTCCAAACGATCATGCAATTACCTCACTGAGCAACGAGGAAGCCCGTAGGTAAAAGCCACTCGCATTTTCACTCGCATGCTTCTATTTAAGTTATTTATAAAATTAATGTAAATGAAGAGAAGAAAATTAGTTGGGTTGTGTGTAAAGTTTTATTTTTTAAAATGAAAATAATTCTAACAAGCTGTACAAAAACTTCAAAATCATAAGTTGAAAACCGCTGGAGCCCCAAGTTTGAAAAATCGAGTCAAACGCAGTGCGGCAGGCGCGGCGCGTGGCTGGCGCGCACGGCGAGAAGCGACTTGTAGCGCCTTACGAGACCGCAAGATACTTCATGCATTGCGCGTAGAGCACGGTGCGCGCCGGCGGCATGGTAGCGCCTTACAAGACTATGCAGGATACTTCATGCATTGCGCGTAGAGCACGGTGCGCGCCGGCGGCATGATAGCGCCTTACAAGACTGCAAGAAACTTCATGCATTGCACGTACAGGACGGTGCGCGCAGGCGGCATAGTAGAGTCTCACAGGTCTGCAGTATACTTCATGCATTGCGCGTATACCACAAGTGCGCGCTCAGACTCAAGTCGTTAAAAAGTTGAATTTTCTTGTTGTCGAACTTACCCTGGTGCACACCATTTCCGAACAGTGCACACCGCGAGCTTGCAATTCTAGGATCACAGGATTGTAGAAATTTTGCAAATCTGTATGTTTTCAGGTTAAAATTTAATTTATGAGTGGTAATTTTCCAAGTTGGAATGCTGTTAGGCTGTTACGTTCTATCGTCTGGAAAACTCAGAACTTAGCTTACTTCTAGGGGTAGCAAGTGGACATTTTTTTTTTTTTTTTTTTTTTTTTTTTTTTTTTTTTTTTTTACCACAAATGTGGCAAAATTTTCAGGGAGATATTTTTTGTATCACAAAAAATAAACTCTAGGAACCTAATCCAACTTCGGTAATGTTTGCAAAATGGCCTAGGCACGCAAATGGCTAATATCGAAAAATTAAGGGGGAAGGGGGGGGGATCCGCCGCAGCACCGCGTTGGGCTGGTCTGTTGGCAATTTTTCGGGCCGCTTCGAGAAGCCAGCCCGCTTCTGCTACCTGCTAATTTTGCGTGAAAATTCTATATGAATGTACCCGATATCGAAACTACAAACCTTTTAAAAGTCTAATTTATTCATTTGTGTGTTCCAAATTGTTTATGATTTTTTTTTTATTTATTTATTTATTTATTTTCTTTTTACCGAAAATCCAGATTTCAGCCACTTTCAGTCATAAATCTATCGATGCATCGGCGGATAGCCACCGAAAGGCTAGTATTTTGTTGACAGGAAGTTTTGTTTCAGGGAAGGGACGATCCACGTGGGCGATCGACTGCTAGCGGTGAATGGACACTCCTTGGAGAACGTGTGCCTTAGTGAGGCGCAGGAGATCTTGCAGAGCTGCCAGGACGATAAAAACTGCCGACTTACCATCGAGTACGATGTCTCAGTGATGAGCGCCCTTCGGCTCATGGGCACGCCCCTCCTCGTCGAGATCGAATGTCCCCAGTTGTACCAACTTGGCCTCACCTTCACCAACACCGTCCGTAACAGCGCCATCCTCATCGAGGATGTCAAAGTTGGCAGTATTGCTGAGAGGTATCTCTTACATTTCTTACAAACCACTTTTTCCTCAGATGGGGACCTCCAGGTGGATAGACACATGGACACGGAGAGAAACCAAGCACTTTGAAATACACATGGAACCAGGCATTTTTTTTGAGAGGGGGAGGAAAACATATCATCAAGGAGGGGTCTGTGGCACTTAAAGGCAGCCTGCAAACGGAGACCTGTGGGACTCCTCCAGTTCCAAAGGAGGATTCCCGGGATATCCATAGCCTTAAAGGGGGACCGAGGGGGTTTCTGCGGGAAAATTTTGAAAAACTGAGTCCTCCCAGGAGTGATTTTGAGCTGTCCTTGCCGGAAAGTTAATCGAATCACAATTCCAAAGATAGATTCCACTCCAAAAAAGTTTACGCATCTTCAAACTGCGACAGAACATACACCATCACACCATCTTAAACATTGCATTTACTTTTAATGTTTAAGTGACGTCCGACGATCTTCTGTCGTAGTCTAAAAAAGCGTAAACTTATTTTGCATAGACTCTAGAGGATACGCAGGTATCACACGTATGCAGCAAAATCTCTAAAATCTCTAAAAAAATTTAAGAGGAGTGGTAAAATTTGGGGGACAGGTCCAGGTGCCGCAGGGCTCCGCTTGCCCTTGAGGCAAATTTTAAATAAGATGATTGATACACAATGCTGATTAACTTCTTTATGCGCTACTCTTCAAATACAAGCTTATCAGTTGATTTTCTTTTTCATAACGAATGTAAGAATATCTGAGACGTTTCATTTTAATCAAAATTTATTTTCTGGGTCAAATACAGGTGCGGAGCACTTTTTCCCGGGGACACAATTCTTTCAGTGAATGATTCCAAAGTGGAAGGCACTAAAATGGCGGCTGTGAATATTCACCATCTATTCCATCAGTATTGTAAGAGCGAGGATGTACTCAGGCTTGAGATCCTGCCGGCACCTCCGCCCAATCAGAAACTCTATGACGGTAAGCTCTCATTTTGAAAGCCAAGAATTCTCCTTTAGAATACCGGAGACCACACTTCATTTTTTGAGATTTTGAAGCGTGAGAAAGTGTAAAATTAGCATTTTCGACAGAAATTTGGAAAATATTTAATACCGAGAGGAATTGCTTTATTGCTTCAAGGATTTCGTATCGTAAGGAGATAAATTAAGGCTAAGATACGATGAGTTAAAGCTAAGATGGTCGAATCAAAACATTTTACGAAGTCAATCAGGACGATTTTCAATCGCAGAAAAAATGAAAGAGCCATGTTTTAATTTTTGTGCGTTAGCTGACGACAAGCCAAACTATCATCGACTTAATTACTTTTTTGTGTTTTCTCCCCCCCCCCTCCGGCTTCATGCAGTCGTCTTGCGCTGTATATCGACGGCGTAAATCGGCAATCATATAGCTCGTTTGCGGTGTCTAAAAATATCCGCCTCTATGTTATTTTTTTTTAAAGGAGAACAAATTGACATCATTCCTTGAAGTTCATGCAGAATTTGCTTTGCATAGAGAAGAAAAATCACGGCAATTTTAAAGAATTGCCGTTGAGTAGTTTTCCGTTTAAAAAATAAAGTGTGACAGCGAGTCTGCGACGTCGCAAACCGAGTTATGTGATTGCCGACTTACACCGTCGATATATATAATTTTTTAAGAAAGACCATTATAACATATTTCTGTCTTTTGGTTTCAGATTCCATTTTTATCCAAAACTCTGAGAGAATGTGCATAGAAATTCAATGTGATGAAACTGGAGATTTGGGGCTGACAGTTGTGACACTGGATGATCAGCTGAACCTTCCGGTTATTTATCAAATTGACAGTTCGAGCCCAGCAGATAGGTATGAAATCATCTCCACAAAAGAGACTAACTTTTCACATCTCATCGAAGAATTTTAATTGAAAATCACCATTGAATGATGCGGTCCCATCTTCATAATTTACATTTTATTCCAAAGTTTGAAATTTAAATGAAGGAAGATAACCATTCGTTATTCCCTAAAACTTTCAAAACTATCATGTAAATATCTGAGATTATACAATAAGATAGAAATGAGGATGGACCTACTAAGCGCGCCAGTTCTAAGTTATAGATTTTCATTAATTGCAATTTACACTGGAATCAATGAGACCGATGGGCAACTGTTCCTTGATATTTGAAATTGCTGAAATGGAGTCGAGTAAAACTGTTTTGTTTGAGGGTACCAACATATTCTCTAATTTAAAGATGCATGGAAAATACGGACGTTTTTATGCTAAAAGGAACTATGTGCATATGATTTGCGTGCAACATAGTTCATTTTAGCATAAATACGTCCATGTTTGCTCTTTACTCTCTCTTTTTAAGAAGACACGACACGTTTCTCAAAAGATCCATTTTATTACGATTTTGCTGAGTTTCCTTTTCTTTTTTTCTTTTTTCGTTTGGCGACTCTCTAAGTCATTGTGAGTCCATCCTCAGGTAAGGAGGTTTCATTAGGCACATGGCTGATTGTTTGTCCTGTTTTTCCAGAAGCGAGAGACTGAAATGTAGCGATCGGATACTCCTGATCAACGGCGCTCATCCGCCGTATTCCAAAACCCCGATGAAACTCTGTGATTTTAGGCCTCATGAAACCGTCCGGCTGGACGTAGAATACGACGTTGAAAAGTGTACCGCGTCGACGTTCGGAACTTTTTCCGTCCAGATCACCAAACGCTCCGATTACGATCTGGGACTATCACTCGCATGTAAGTGACTCTCTTTGTTTATAAAACACCTGGGCGCCACACAACTATTCCTGCTCCTCGGTTACTAAAGTTGCATGCATTGAAAATGAAGGCGCTTTGGCTACTTTCGTTGCGTTTGCGTCAAATAAACATATTGTTATTGCAATCGACCATCATAAGTGTAGCTACTGCTGTTCCATGACTGCGGGCTGATTGTTGAAATTACTTGACAAACCTATAGACAAAGAAAACAAAGGCAGTATGAAGCGATCCTATTGATTAATTTCGGTGGTTTTTATAGACCAAGGGAGAAAAAGGTGGACCAACTATCGGGTCTCGTGAGTCGCCGTTAGTTAGTCTACCTACCTACCTCCATTGTCCTTTGCAACCACTCTCTTTCACCAATAGGATCCCTCCATATACTTTTTGTCCATAGTTTTGTCTATCAATTTCAACAATCAGCCCGCTGGAGGGTCGCATAAGCAAAAATAATTATGAAACATATTATCGTCTGATAACATATCAAATAATCAATTACGCAGATACACTGGAAAAAGAATAAGAAACACTGGAAAAAGAATAAGAAACACTGGAATTGCCTATCAAGATTTCCTCTTAAATCAGTAAAGAAATCGCTTGAATCGAGCAGATTTCTGTTCGATGAAAGCAACGTTCTTCTTGAAACAATCACAGAGTCTCTAGATTCCAGAGAGCTTCTTATTTGCGGCAAATTGAGGAATATTTTTGCTTATAAATCAAGAAACTTTTTTTCGAGTATTGATAGTTGGTCAGCGGTCATGCAGTCTATAGTTTGTCAATTAAAATGTTTCATTATTGGGCAGGGACTAGTAATTGAATGATTGTTGCAGCGAGTGATCTGGGACCAGTGATCGTCGAGGTTAGAGCGGGGTCCCCCGCCAAGAGGAGCGGCGCAATTCTTGTCGGTGACGTCATCGTAGCGGTTAACGACCACCTTCTCGACAGCACGCTGACGATGGACGAGGTTTACAGGATACTAGCCATCCCTGCGCAGCAAGTAACCCTGTTGTTGCACCGTCATTCTCAGCAGTACTGTTGTGAGTTCTTATAGATATGTAAAGTTTGAAACCAATTTTCTACGCAATTATTTTCTTCCAATTTTTTAAACAATTTTTCTATCAGCCCTGCTACAGAAATTGTAACGTTTAATTCTTATTTAATACCTAAATTGTATATTTGAATTATTCGGCCTTTCGCACTTTTTTGCTACAAAATCAAATCACGATTCCTTTAACAATTATCAATGCCTGGAGGGCTACGCTCCCTGGTCACTGCGGGGGCAGTGGCGTGGCGTACTTCGCGATCTATCGATTAATCGGTCATTTAAACCTATGGAAAAGTATCGATAAACAGGGTGTTCGCAGCGAACACCTTAATAATCGATTTTTTACTACAGCTTCAAATGGGGAAATATCGATAGATCGCAAAGCACGCCCACGCCACTGTGCGGGGGCCCTGACTTCTGCAATTGCGGAGCAGAGCTCCATCGATAAAGTTCTAAGTCACCGAATTGTGATAGTGGCCCCAGAAAATGATGTTTTCTTGTAAAATAATGGACCCCTAAAAATCCAAATCTAACGGACTTTAAGCAAAACTCAAGGTTTTATACTTTTTCGAAAAAAATTTCCAAATATTTAATTTTAAACCTTTTCCTGTATTTGCACCAGGTGAAGAAAACATCGTTCGCACGGTTCACTTGAAAAGAAACGGTGGGCCCTTAGGAATAACTATAGCTGGATCGGAAGATCCAAAGGATCCAATCTTGATATCATCTTTAGCCCCAGGTATGCTATTTCACCATCAAATCGTCAAATCTTGAATCGGAAGCTTTTTTCGGTTTGAGTATCTTCATATATACCCGTTTGATCGTATAACTGATGGTCAAACTTATGATCTATTCTGCACAAGATGTAGACATTTGAATTCAGGGAGATGTTCAATGCCGGAGTCAGGAGACGCAATGAAGATGAGGGAGGGAGGCTATAAAAGTACTGTTTTTCCCAATCATGACTTATATATTTTTTGTCATGAAAGGTAATATCCCGAGATTTTCAGGCATTTTTATACCTGTGGACAGAGGCGGATCTAGCAAATTGGCAACACCGGACTCCTTCCATTTGAACCTATGTTAAATAATCGATTCTTGTCGGAGCACCTGGCCCCTCCAAGAATCGATACATTTCCATAGGTTTAAATGGAGAAAAACAATGTTGCCAATTCGCTGGAACCGCCAATGCCTGTGGACTTCCTACCTTTACAAAAAACTGTTTGACTTAAGTTACGATCTGGATAAAAAAAGACTTCGACCCCGATTCTTGTTATTTTTGTGAAACTCTCCCTTAAGCGTAACTTAGCATTATCTCAACTTATCCGTTAATAAATACAAAACCATTTTTGAGGCTTTAAAATAGGTTTATCTGCTCATAGTCATGCTCGCAAGTTCATACTTTTCCATCATAATGCCTTCTAGATGGGGTTGCACAACAAACGAGGGCTCTGCACGTGGGCGATCAGCTGGTAGCAATCGACGGTCAAAGTCTGCACTGCAAACCTCTCTCTGCGGCGATTACATCCCTCCAGCAAGCAGGCGATTCCATCGTCCTTAAGGTGGTGCGTCATCCAGTTTTTGATCAAGGTAAGTCGTAAAAGCTTCTTAGTAAGAAATTAAGATGCTGTCCTCACCTCATGAATTACATGGTAGAGCAAAACTTATTTGATTCTACTCGGCAGAGCGGCACCTCATCAAGGGGAGTCTGGGGTGCACCGAATGACACACTACGGAGGGGAATCTGCGGGACTCTCCCGGCTCCAAATTAGGGTTCGGAGGATATGCCTGATTCCAGAGGGGGGTCTAGGTGGCCGCCATTCAGGGAAAATTTTGAAAAATTGAGTCATCTTAGATGCAATTTTGAGCTATATATGCCGAAAAGTTGGTCAAATAACAATTTCAAAGATGGAAAAATACGTAGCACCTACTTAGCAAAGTTCATCATATATTTTGAGAGGTGTCAGGTGGATTTCAGGGGGGCAGGCCCTTCTGGTCTTCCCTGTTCCGCTCATGCGTCATTCTCACAAAAACCATCCAATTAAAACAAAGTATCTTTAGATATTCGTAAAAATCCGCTGGAAAATTGGTTACGGAAATTCCATAGTAAGATGTTGACAATATAACATAGAGTATGGAGTGTTTAAAAAACATATTTTTTACTTGCACAAAAAAGTCCAAATATATTAGATGTAGATGGTGAAAACTGTGATAAAAATTCGTTCACTTTTCCAGAGCAAATGGGTTCACGGGCCGACGAGATCTACTCATCGTATCGAAGTTACGATCAAAAGCCTAACTGCAATAATAATCGCGATTCGCCCAACTTCTTGAGTAGTCCATCGGGGCTCATCACCAATGACGACTCCTTCGAAAGTTTCCTGCAGTAAGTATTTAGTTATAAATGATGTAATCTACTCTGTTGTTTGCAACATCCACTTTATTTTTTAATTCTAATAAGTACCTAGAAGTTCACAATAAATGCTCAATAAAAAAAAGTAAGTATTTAGGATATTCTTTTGTTAAATATTTCGGCTGTTGTTTTTATACGTAGGGGATTATTACTCATCGGGCAAAGGTTCTGATCATGAAAGTGTGATGATCACGACTTTCGAGTTTCGTATATTTTTAAATCGCGCTCATCTCCTAAAATTTTTCTCTCAACAGATGACGTTTTTCAAGTCGGTCAATTCCTTCTTCCGCTGTTTCAGATTATCCGATCCTAGTTTAAATGACGTTTCTACCTACAACCTACCGGATATCTACTCCTGGCCTCACAGTAGACAGCCTCCTGATCTGACCACTTTCGCGAGCAACACGAACAGAGGTCACCGGAAAAATAAACCAAACCAAGTTCCTAACGGGTTTAGGATGCAAAACTACGCATATGACATGTGCAAAGTAAGTAGCGTGGCCAATTAATTTAACGTAGTATACGTTAATTGTCTTATTTTTATTTTTATTTTTTACAGGAATAGAAGTTAAATCGACTGATTCTATCCGTCTAATAAATCATGTGTATTTTATATTCTGAGTCTATTCAATTGAAAACAAATCAGACAAATCATGTAAGAATTAGACCACGATTGAGAGGGCTCATATTTCGGTGAAAGAAGTTTTAGTTATATGTTTCCCATAAATTGTTATAATTTTTACCTGACCTGAAAAGCACTGAAACACATGGGTCATATAGGGTCTGTTTTCACATGAGGTTAATCCTTGACATTAGCGAAACAACGACATAATTTTTTTCGAGCATTTCTCTATTCATCATCTCATTTGGTTTCAATTTTCAGGTGACTTTACTGAAAGACGCGGTGTATGACGATTTTGGGTTCAGCATATCTGACGGCCTTTACGAGAGAGGTGTCTTTATCAACAGAATGCGACCAGGCGGGCCTGCCGAGCGAAGCCAAGTCCTGCGACCGTATGATAGAATAATCCAAGTGAGTTAATTTCAGTTTAGTAAACTAAGGGATCGCGTCATGAAGTTGATCCAACTTAAAGAGCGGAAGAACATTTTCAGTCTCACCTCATTACCTTGATTCGGTAGTCCAAAATTTCAGCTAAATTAATCCAGTGGCATTTACACTTCGCAAAAGCTGAGGAAGCAGTGCTCGTCAGAAGAAATTTGGGAGTTATAGTTGCGATATAAATTGATCACGTATTACAAAGGACTTGAACGGAGAAACAGAGGTAGCATTAAGTTTGTAGGTTGAAGCTCGACTTGATCACCCAGCAACTGCAAAGGAAGAAGTTTGACACCGCAGGATGCTAATGCAAATCCTAGTGGATAGAATGCGCCGGGAATTTTTGTTCTGGCCTACCTCGCAAATTGAAGGCGAATCAGCCATGCGCGCAAACTCTCTGTTGATTAAGTAGGGCCGAAAAAAAAATTCCTCGGAATTGTTGACGGCTATAGAGATTTTTTATAAGGTAAAAATGATGAACATTCGTCCAATTCGCATCAAAAGTTTCCAATTTTCCGAGCTTCCGAATGACGCATTAACATTTTCACCTCCTCTAATTTTATTTCATCTTTTTTCGTAAATTATACTTAGCAATTTTTCATACACGGAATATTTGCCTAACAGTTGAAAATACTATCATTCAACACAAAATGAACTTTGCCCCGAAATGAAGCTTAATTGACACTCTTTGATGAGGTTCCGACATTGATTAGAATATTGAAGACGGTGAAATGCAGGATCCACCTTAGAGACTAAAACGCGGGTCAGAAAAGTAGGCGTACTGACAAATGCGACATGTTTGACACATAGTGACATTATTCAAAAATTTGTTTATGCTGAACCTCACAAGAGACTGCTATAAGACGGTAAAATGTAGGAGTTCCCTCAGAGACTTTAACGCGGGTCAGAAAAGTAGACGCATCGACAAATGCAACTTGCTCGACAAATGGCGACCTTATTATTCAAAGAATTGCTCATGTTGAAACACACCCGTCATATTTAGATCTTTAGTGGCACAAATCCCACCAAATCCCTGTGAAAAAAATTAGGTATCTTTTTCACGATTTCAGCCACGCGCATGATGGCAAGGCTCAACGCGCTTGCTATTTTGTTGGATTTATTTTTTTAGTCTTTCCCTTTCAGCATTTACCAAACGGCGACACCATAGTTAACATATTTTAATTTTCAACCTTGCGCACTAATTTGAAATTTGATGTTAGTCACCATTTTATATATTTTGCAGGTAAATGAGACCCGAACTGATGATTTTGACTGCTGCATGACGGTGCCTCTCATTGCGGCCGCTGGCGACCGGATAACTTTGTCCGTTGCGCGACGGAAACACACCGGCCACTTCCATCATTATGATTGCGAGGTAATAATGATTTTTTTATAATATCCGTGGCTCAAACCACAAAATGCATCATCATCGACCACAGCGCATGTACACTGATCAGATGTTGCAATTCACTGATCCCTCGTAAATATTTTAGTAACGTTCATTACTTCTCTTTTTCAGGAGAATAAGATATTGTTACCATGGGTTGAGGATGAACCGGAAGAAGAGATATCACTTCAAGGACCTTGGCAAATCAAAACGGAAAAAATTTAAGAGCTCACAAATTTTAATCTTGTATATAGTTTTGTAATAGATGTAAGGTTATTGTTAAGTACGAAAATGAAAATAAATTATTTTGAATTTTTTTAAAGCCATGTGCAATGTGCATGTATTTTTTCAAGCCCAAATCAGTAAAATGTATTAGCGCCATTAAGAACAGGTAATTCATGAGAGTGTGTTTGATTCATATTTCTTGTCCCTTTCCGTGTATTTTTACCCTGTCCATCGGTCATGTTTCGCCTTGTTCACAAAAAAAGAGACAAAAAGTTTATCTCTTTACTTTCATGCACGGAACATGCTTGAGTGCGGGGCGCACACTCATGAGGCGAGAACGGTACAAAATGTAACAACTAATTGTCAAAATAGCAATCTACAATTTCGGGTCATAAATAAAAACCAAAACTACAGGCATTTTCTCCTTATCCACGGTTAAAAATCCGAATTTTCAAAGTCATAATGTGCGCTTGGGTTTCTCCTTAATATAAGTTGAACACGAAAAACAAGAGGACATTATAACATTAGAACAACATTGAAAGGTAAATAGTCATAGTATTTTAATCTCATTAAGGTGGATCTTCAGCACTTTAAAGTAAAATTCGAAAGTTGATGGATTATAGATCAATCGAACATTTTTAGTACTTTCTTTCGAAAAATCCTCGAGCGTCTCACCACACTGCAGTCCGTCAAGTATTTTTACACGATAAGTATGTGAACGAGAAATATTTTGAAATAAATAACTCCAACATTGCGAATCTTTGTCTTTTGATTTACGATGTGCATTCATCGGGACATTTCATGAGTTATTTCAAAGTGTTTTTCGGTCGAATATGTGAGTAAATACCTGTACCTTAATGTGATGTAACGTTCGGGGATTTCCGAAAAAATGTCTTAAAATCTAGAGATAATCCATCGTATACCAAATAATTATTTCTGAAAGTACTATTATAACTAAAAGTACCATTTAAAGTCACTCGAGACATTGGGAACATATTTGATTGGTTGGGAGAAAACAAACACGAATAATGCACTGCATTAGCCACGTTTCATTAGTATGGAAAAATCGTTTATAGGAAGCATCTGATTAGATGAATTGACGATAACACAGTTTCACTTGAAACACAGACTTGGGAAGTAGGTAATCAATATGTGCGTTAATGAAGTGCATCCGAATACTGTGGCTCCGGGATAACATCTCATAGTACCAAGGGTAGGTATACCACAGGTGCAGTTGAATTATGGTGTGACTCTCATTACATACCTCCTACTTTGTGCTCAGTGCATGTCAATGGCAAAAGTCGAGAAATGCGAGCCCCCCATTGCAATGTTTAAAAATGACCGCTTGCATTCTTTTTTTTATTACTAAAAAACATTAATTTTTGCTTCATAGAAGTTTTCCGTGAATACTTATGGATGTGGGAAAAATATTTAGGAAAAATTTCAAGAAAAAACATTTGTTTAGTATTTTAAAAAAATAAATAAAATATAACTTGAGATAAATGAAAAGTTAAAATCGTTGAAATGCGCATTTTTCGAATGTTGCCATCGATGTGATGGTACCACCATCAGCTTAAACAATCAGATGGCTTTAACCGAAACTTTTAGTCCACCTATATCTCACGCCAAATCATGCCCTAGGTTTTTTTTAAAAAAAAAATCATATCGAAAAATACCCTTGTAATGATATAGAACTTTAAAAAACCAACCGAAGGTCTTATAGTAATAATGAATAGAAAGTTCAAACTTGTGAAGTAAAAACCTTTCCATTGCACCCTTAAAATTGTCTTCCAATTATAGGACCAAATATTACCCATGCGGTCATCTTTTCTATTGTATTCAGTTTTAGCGCGTATTCCCTCAGAAGTAGATTATCCAAGGGCAAAATTTAGTGGCTGCATCAGTTTGATAATTATTGCTATTGGATGGTTTCAATGTGAATTAACACATAACCTCGCTTTATTCATGTTGGGGTATATAGTGGGAATGAGTCTGAAAGTTTCTCCCAATCAAAATATCTCTTGTGCGATGACTCCTTAAGTAATTTAATTGTGATTTGTAATCATAGTGAACTAAGAAAGTACACTTTATGCAAAATTTTGACGTAAGCGTATGTGTTATTGCTCGCAATGGAACTGCCAACAAAAATTGATCGCAAATCGAAAGAATGATGTCACCACTGAAACAAGTGAAACAGTATATTATTGTAAAAGTTTATTGGCATTTCGGCGCGATGTGATTTTTTTTTTTTTTTTTTTTTTTTTTTTTTTTTTTTTTTTTTTAATCAATTTTACTGTTACCTACATCTACCCATCACTTAACATCTTTCTTTTCAAGATGTTAAGACAAGTATGCAGCGCTGTGATTACATTGACCGTCTTGCACTTCATTAAGGCAGTGGCTCCAGATTTCTCGGCATGGGGCATAACTTCAGCGCCAGATTCTGATGATGCTGGGAGCACATTATTCCTGGGAACCATGGTGGAAAATGATGAGTAAGTTCGATTTTTCTTCGAAAGCACCTTAGGAGGGCAATTTAAAATGTTTAAGGTATTGATGTTTTTTGTACCTATATTAGTATAATCAATTTGAGAGTTGCATTGAGCGTTACGAACATTTTTTTAGAGGTTATTGCAGATCTGTGGTACAGGTTTGTCACGAGGAGGAGGGGAAAGAAAAAGAAAAAAAAATCCGATTTTATGCGTCTTGTCTTACGGCTACGTGATAACAATTGCGATCAGGTTATCAATCAGTATGTATTTTACTGCATGCAGTATGTGCTGCATTTTTTAAGGCTGAGAATTTTCCGGTATGAGCCTGTGCGGGCTCGAAAGGGTGTTTTATATTTTTAGCCTTATTTCACCCATGGTTCTTATCCTTGTTATTCCCTTTCTTATAGAGCGTATTCGATACATCGAAAAGGTGAGATTGTGTCGATATCGATTGGTTCAACATGTAAAAATAGCCTCCAAAGTCAATTGAGTCTAAAATTTTTGTTTGAGATTATGTTCTATTGTTTGGAACCGAACGATACATCGATCCACTATCGAATACGCTCCATCCACTCATTAATTTTAAAATGATTTACGTGTTGCAGAATAATTTATGAAACGGTGGTGGAGAAGAGAATAAAAAGAAACAGAATCGCTGCACACACAGTGGAATTCCCGGAGAGGAGAAAGACGAACAAGAAAATAATAAACTTCATAGCAGCGGTTGACTGCAACCATAAGGTGCAGGGACAGCCCCCCGAGGTGCTGGAGGGGGGCATAAATCAAACGCACGTGACTATCCTGTTGAAATCGTTCAAAGGCAAGAGTCTCTATTATGTCATCCATATCAGGGGCCTTGAGCCTGGTGACAGCCCAGGAAAACCTAGAACACCACCCACCTGGACAGGACCAAAAAATTATACGAGGAGACCAAAACTTAAAGCCACAACGCCTCTATCGACATCGTGACCAGGAATTTTGTACAACGTAATTTCTCGTTCAACTTTCATTAACTTCAACGGCATGTGAAGCATGTGGGATTAGGAAGGCTTAAAATCACTTGCTTTAACTTTCAAAGAACTGCAAACACTCGATCTTAGTAACAATTCCCAGAGCTCCTAAGAGACTTGCGATCGATTTAGGAAATTCTTTTCGAATATTCTTTGAGGCGCATTTAGTATTAAGTTTTTAGGGGTAAAAATAGTTGTTGCACAGTCTATGTTCGTAAGAAATGGAACACTAAAGAGGAGTAGATTCGATTGATAACGATTTCCTAAGAATGCAATGCCAAACGCAGCGTGACGATAGCGCCTGCAATGATGCAACAAACCCTGCTCTCAAGTTGTTTATATTGCCTAGACAAATAATTGAAGGTATTATGGGAATGTTTAGCCTTAATGCCACAGCTCTGCGCTGTTTTGGCGTCGTTACAATTAATTATTATTAAGTTATTATTAGCATCTGTCTAATAGAATATCGAACGGGAAAAATTGGTACAGATGTTGTAACGTATCCTTTCCGCACAATGTCCACGGTTTTTGATGAATTCTATTCCCAGGAATCTGCAGACTGGGTACCGTTTTGATGTGTACGTAGACTTGAAATTTTTGATGAACAAAACGCTGCATTTTGCAAAAAGAGAGACTCCAAAACATTATTGTGATCAACCGATCGAACATTTTGGAAGGACTTAAATAAAATCCTTACAAAGTCCAACCAACAAAGATATATTGATGCAAAATTCTGGTCTGGATGACTTCTAACCATAGAAAGAGACCTCCGCGCGGAAAGATATATTACTGTACCCGGCTTCAGTTATCATGCTTCATCCGTTGGATATACCTTTCCTCACATTGACGAGTCCGTGGTTCGCGTCACTTTAGAACCGTCCCCGAAAAGTTGCATCGCGGATAACAGAGCAAGAGAGACTGAACGCATGCGCACACATGATCAAAATCACCGTTCAATTACTGAGAATACGACATCTGAGAGACACACACTTGATGAATTATGCTGATAGCCTTAGTTGTTAAAAAAAAAAAAAAAAAAAAAAAAAAAAAAAAAAAAAAAAAACACACACACACAATTCAGAAAAGACGTTTGCATGTGTATGTTGTCAGTACCTACGGTAAATTTTTGAAGAACCGTGTCGCTTCTTTTTTTTCTAACTTCATGGGAAAGGTATCGTTTCAATTCCGTAGTAAAAATACTTGAGATTGATTAATAAAATTGAAGAAAATTATAGGCACAGCATACTGTCAATCTAGGTGCTGATAATCTACCCAAAACTTCTGAGATAAAGTGTCTTTTTAATCAACTAGAGTCCAATTAAAACATATGTCGACATTTACATTATCCTTTCAAAGCATTTGCATCATTTTTCGGGAAAATTTGATGGATGTTTTTTATTATTCAAACATAAATTTTTCTCAATGCATTTCTATAAGACTCGAGCTGATGCTGTATTCTGAGCAGGAAAGGTACGATACAATATGTTAAAAAGTTTAAAACCGTCATCACACTAAACAATAAATTTTGAAACTCATAGGTATGCTCGCAATCGTATTTTCACAATAAACCAAGTAATTTCTGATTCCAGAAACGGAATTTGACGATGTCCAGGCTGTTAGTTGTTGTCACAATTATGCAGGCTACTTTTTACGCCACGGAAGCAGACGTAGAGTTTATCGATGATATTAACTGGCACACAACACCAAAAATACAGATAGGACGAAGGAAAATAGCTAACAAGAAGAATTCATTGTTTCTGGGAATGATGTTGGAAAATGATCAGTGAGTTTTTTTCTCCGTCATAAGGAATTAAAGATGAAATTTTATTTACTGTTCGAATGACTTCAACTAGAACCAGCCTAAGTGGGCATCCACGTTGCATAATTTCTTCTCAAATTTTTGATTTCCTAAAATGAACCAAGGGAGATAATGCCTTGAATATTTTTGTGTTTTCTTCTAACAAAGAATATAATCTCATTTAAAGACTGTGTATTGCTTATAGTTTCCCATTCAAAAAATGAAACAAGAGAGAAAATTAAACTATATGCATATTGCTATAGATTGTGTTGAATCCGTCCACATACCAATGGTAAAATTTACAACCCGACATGTTTTTAGCAGTCATTTCAAACATGACAAAATTTCGTTACTTTTAAATCTTTGTACAAAAACTTGAGCTTTCACGAATCGTTTTTAAATGTCTTGCACAGAATTCTGTGAATAACTTGATTGTTAATTGACTTAATTGAGACATTTTTATGGTAAGAACACACATTCTGACAATGACATTAGGTGGCTATCTTATCTGGCTGGAAATTTATGGGAGACAGAGTCGACTGCGAGGAGTATATGAGACTCCGCTCTTCAATATTCCGCCTTCCATTTTCGAGGCAGACAAAATAGCATACTTCTTACTGCAGAGTTTCCCCATACAAGAGTAATTAATAGCGTGATCTTCACATTTTGTGTCTGGGTAAATTGTAGGGACCAAAAGTCAACCTCACGATTATGATGTTAACTCTTTTCCCCTCATCTGTGAGATCGATAATGAACGAATAAATAAGTAATATAGTAAGAATGATCCATGTACCCTCAAGTTTTTCAGAGAAGCTGCAGTGATCCTCTGATGTATTTTCAAACAATAAGTTTGCAAGAGTGAATTAGTATTTCTAGCTAATTCGAATGTTTTTGCCCAACTATTTTGGGAAACTAGAAGCCCATTATGCTTTTTCTAAAATAAGTCAGAAATAATGACCCTTCGTAGCAAAATGACGTATTCCCATTTTGATTCAATATCAGCTATAATTTGTTCGTTTCAGCTTAATTTCCGAGATTGAAGTGGATAAGCTATTGGTAATAAACGAAGTCATAGAGCACACAGTTCAAGTCCCAGCGAAAAACGAGACCAACGAAAAATTGATCAACTTCATAGCGGCGATTGACTGTAATTACGATGCAGAGGGGCAGCCACCCCAGTTGCTGAGCGGTGGCATCAACCAAACCCACGCGACGATTCTTCTGAGATCCTCGAGAGGGAAGGCTCTTGACTATCTCATCCATGTCAGAGGCCTGAACCCGGGAGACCCCTGGATGGGACCGAGAAATCGTACGAGAAGACGGAAAAATTACACGAGCAAACTAAAAATAAAAATAACAACTCCGTTATCGACGACGTGACTAAATACGTGATTCTTTTTTTGAAATTTGATTTTCCAAAATAGATGACTATCCACGAGGAGAATAGAGTTTAGCCCCGAGAAACTCAAAATTTAGATACTGGTAACCACTGCTGAGAAAAATGTTCTACGAAGATTTTAAAATGCTCGAAGTAACGACAATTTTAAGTTTGCAATTTTGAAAACGTCGGCAGTGTAAGCTATTTGAAGTTTTAAACTTCCATTTCAAAGGCTCAAAACTGTAGTAGTGAAAGTGTGAATGGCTGTCCTCTATCAGTCCCAAAACGAACAAAACCTCTCGCGACTCAGTGATAAAAAATAGTGTCTTCTGTTAGCATAGGTGGATCCAGACACTTTTAACCGGGGAAGGGGGCGGATGGGGGGTCCTGGAGATTCCCCAGATAATTGTCGAAATTTAAAAGCATCCAAAATGCGCTTTGAGTCGATATCACGAAGCATTGATAATTACCAAACATAAGCGCCCTTTTTTCCTCACGGAGAAAAAAAACTTCGTGCATGGGACCCGAAGTTGACGTCATATGGATCTCTGAAGTTTCCGGATCACGCATCCTTGAGGTCCAGCTGCCGAGGTTCGGGTCAGACATCTGAAGTACTTCGGTATATACCGAAGGGTTCGGGTCACACATCTGAATAACTCGGGTACATAAAATGTACTTCAGGTGTCTGACCCGAAATTCAGCAGCTGGACTTCAAGTTTTCGGGTGCGTAATCCGAAAACTTCAGAGATCCATATGACCTCAACTTCGGGTCCCACGCTCGAAGTTTTTTTCTCCGTGCTCTCTCCTCCGTCCCTTCCTTATTTCTTCCCTTTTGCTTCCTCCTTTTTTTCGGGGCGTACACCCCCTACCCCCCTCCCTTTTGGATCCGCCAATGACCGTTGGGTACTGCTGGCAGGTAGGAAAACACTCAAAACAGTAACTAGGTCTTAGGACTTTTTAATTTTCGTGCTGGAGGGTTGCGCTACAGCTGAAACTAAACGCCTGAGGACTGAAATGCCGACGACAGCAAGGACGAGGCCGACAGCCAGGATGACGGAGAGAATATCGAGACAAAAGTACTCGAAGACGGTTGCGTCGGCCGTCGATGGTCTCAGGTGGGCTGCCCCTCCGTGGCGGGCCACGTGCTCCACCCAGAACACGCCGCGTTCCACCGAGTGCGGCGTGAAATCCCGCGAGATCAACGAGTGACGCGCCATGTTCGCTGCATAACTAAACAAACAAACCAAAGCGAAAATAATATCAGGCAGACGTCGATGAATGTATTTTAGAATTGCTTCTTACGCGATTAAATCTATTTGTGACCGTCCATGGGGAGAACCCGGATCGGGCTCCTTGTCATTAATGCCAGGATCAAATAAAATATAAGAAGGAACTTCGGTTTTGATACTGTAATATGAGTACGACAATCATCAATAGAATTCTGGAGGCATTGGCCATATTAATGGTGGATGCAACGAGGATACCGGTTCTCTTTACCTAACAGTATCACTGTGTCATCAGTTAAGTAGCCTTAGGATAGAATTTTTTTAGTTTTTCCCCCATGGACGAAGAATCTACGAATATTTCAAATAGAAAGAGGGTCCGATTTTTCAGCTGTGCCTGAAAATTCTAAGAGGAAATATTTGTAGATTTTGACTATGACAAGAATCAATATTTTAGAATTAAACTTAGAAAAAAATTAGCTTTTTAGAAATGATTTGATTTAGAAAAACTGTAGTTTTTTAGATTTAGATATTATAGATTAAATTACGAATAAGATTTCTTGTAAGATTGGGGAAAAAGTTCCCGAAAATTGTCTCCAAAAATTTGCATTTTATCACAGTAAATTTGGCAACGTCCAAAGGCTTTTACAGAGTTCTTCCTTTGCATGGCCGGATTGTAGTGCTGATTGAGCACTTACCACACTGGTTCTGCCTGCTTTTGCCACACAGACTCAGTTCCTGTCGAAAATACAATATTTGCAAAAGAGAATTGGTTCGTCTGAAAAATGGGTTTGAGGAAAAATAAGTTTCCTAGAGGTATGAATGTCGTGAATGGACTTTCTTTAAAAATTTCAAACATATTCTTCGTACCTTTTCGTGAAAAGAACTTCCTCGAAGACGCTTTTCACCTTTTCGTAGGAGCCCAGCTCCTGTGGTCGGAGCCTTGCCCCGATCCCTGCATCAACCATTTTCGCTACGATCGATTCTTGGTCGGCGAAGTAGGGTACCCCCACAGAGGGCACACCGTAGTGAACAGCCTCCTGAAAACTTTGCAGTCCGCCTTGCGTCACGAAAACCTTCACTTTCGGGTGCGCTGCAAACAGTTTACGCATAATCAAAGCACATGAAAAATTATTATCCAATATACACCTTGATGGAGCATAAAATCAACGTACCACACCATATTATTGGTTGAATACTGTATTAGTGTAATGGATCACTAAAAAAGATGAGTAATCAATCTCTCGGTTCTTAACAAAATCTCAAGATCAATTAAAAATTGAACGGTCGAATTACCAGAAAAAGGTTTTGGAATTGGTCCTTCCTGGTAGACGTCATATAGAGGGTGCTCAGCTGAAATGTGAATAGATAGTTTGAAAAAAAAAAAAAGATGTAGAGGAGGTAGCTTCCAGAGAATCTCTATCTTGAAAGAATCTAGTGGCGGTTTGGTGACGCAGAGCACCCTAGTGCATTTAAAAAGCAACTACTACGTAATACATGATTGAATATTTAAGTATTTTCAAATAGGATAATTCTCTCCGCCGAGGAACATTTGTAGACAGCCCGGAGGACCGCTATACCATCTTCCAATTTTTCACCACATCTCAAAGTTATAGAAACAGCTAGAAATGATGTCTTCTTGCGAATCAACGTGCAAATAAAAACGATTTTACTCACCCATAAAACATCATTTTAATACCTGCGGTTGCGTTATTTTAAGAGGGGTGATGGTTATTTTCAGCGCTGGTGAATTTAATTTTTAATTAATAATTATGATTAAAATTGATAGATTTATGGGAATTTTTAAAGTCATACTTTTTCTCCTCCCCTCCAAAAAAATTTACTATCCTCACAAGTTATAGCTGAGAGGACACTTTTGAGTGTTTGCGATAAAAAAAATAAATGTAAAAACCTCTCTTTGAAGTTGGCGGCACTGCTTCCCCGCCACTTAAATCCATTATAAATTTCGGTTCCTGATAAGGCATCAATTGTTTCCCATATATTAAAATGCAGGAAAAACAAATTTTGCCAAGTTTCAAGACTCTCCACTGTCAGCTACGTACCTAAAACACTTTGTTGTGGAAGCCACTTCTGAGCGAGTATATTGTCCGACTGTCCAGGAATCTTTCCGTCCAACTCCCATTTCCATAACACTCTGTAACCAGAGGGTAGATCTTTAAAAACTCGAAGGAGGTTTGATCGTACGTCCAGGGGTAAGGATTTACTCTTCATGTTGCTCCCGAGACTAAAGTATATTACCCCGTCTGCTGCTCCGTCTAGCCATTCTTGCAAATTCTGGAAAGATTTGTGCATATTTAATGAGATTCAGACAGGAGAAAATTACATTATCTATGTATCCCCCAAGAACATTTGACATTAAAAATAGAAGGAGAAAAATGTGTGACCTTCATAGAAGAAAATAACTATACAAACTAACTATCAATGTTGATTGCAGTAAATGAAAAATTGCACTAATGTTTTAATCGCTTTTAGGAAATTTAGTCATATTATTTAGAAGGAATATGTCTAGAACACCGAAAAACTACAAAAATAAAATCAAAGCTCTTTCTGTTGGTATCTCAGTTTTGGCAAACGAACGAATTTGACAAGTTTCAATCGTCATACCATTAGCACCTTTTAGATGGACCTCTTCCTGCTTCGCAGTTGTCCGTATTGCATAAACAATAATTCGAAGGCGCGCAACGTTCCTTCTACGCTCCCCGTGCCACACCTGAAACGCGTGTGATCGGGTTGTATCAATGTGAGAATGTTGTTTCGATGACTCAGTAGAAAATGCGTCTTTACGTACGTCGTTTTTCTTGTCATGGCGTCTGATGCAACGTAACAAGTGCGCATTTTATTCTTCACTTCGTGAGAAAATAGATTAATAGGTGCGGGTAGATAACGTCCATTACAGTATTTTTAGTGTAATTTCAGAAAGAAGTGTATTATTTCGAGGATCAATAATTTATCAGATAATATCGACGTTTGAAGATATTTTATGATTGTTCACTAGTCTAAAATATTAAACGACTATTAATATACGGCTCTATAACTAGAAACTATTCTCGGTCAGAGCTTTCTCATTCAGTCTCTTCCGTATCTATTTCATCGTGACTCTAGTATAGAGGACATCGAGCCACCCCTTCCTAGTTTCAACCTCTATTCATGAGACAATTGAACAGCATCAATTAGTTAGAGTTTTACGGAGGAGATCTATCTAATTTAAATGACCTCTCTAAAAACGACTTATTTTTCATCTACTTACTCCCACAGAAAGGTGATTTTATGAACGTTTGAATGAACCGAATCCTCTCTTCTAAACACGAACAAATTGATAGGGATCCCTCCTACCTGGGGTAATTTCTCGGGGTTGCGGATGTGCATAGGGCCCAACTCGATGACGTTGGGTGCCAGCTGTCGAGGGTAAAAGTACAGCATGTTGGTTGAAAGCATGGCTAAACTTGCATTGCTCCAACAACCATCTATCAAAGCTGTAGCCGCAGGACCATAGTTCTCAGAGAAAAATTCACGAGCCCTCTGTTCTGCATTTGTTTTGAACGTTGAAAGCATAACATAGATTGAGTACCTGAAAGAAGCAATGTTTACTGTAAATTGTACCTGATTTTTTATTTATTTATTATTTTTTTTTTAGAAATGGCACGAACGCTTGCAGGATCTCATGGCATGCTATGCATTGACGGAAAAAAATCTTTGGTGCTTATATAGCCAGATAGTAGGTGACGTTTACCATCTTGGATTCCCAGATTCGACCCCTGAGAACAATTTTGCTACGAGCACAAATGTATGATGGTTAAAAACCCCAAACCGCGATCAGGTAGGCGTTGACAACAAAGATGGTAATTCGCACCAACACTGCTGGGCGGGCGCGCCGTCCTCCGTAGACGTCCCGCTTAACGTTGCTGAGATAGACCTTCAAAGATGGTAAACTGAACCATCCGGATATTTAGTGTATCAATCATGAAAGCAAGGAGAACCTAATATTTTGTGTTTTTAGCCATGAAGAGGAGTATTTTCTTGTGAAACGTACAGCTAAAAAAATTGAATACAAAGGTGTGCAATGTCGGGGTTCGCAGCTAGGGGATGGTGGAAAAGGGTCAATCGCGTAAATTAATTTCGAAATCGAGTATAATGAGACTACAGTACTTGTTGTGAGGTGCTGTAGTCGTATCCGACCCATCAAATTGTTTTGCCTACCGCGGGAATTGACCCTGGGACCTATCTAACCCTAGCCGAAGACCCTAACGATTGAGCTATACAGTATGATGAGAATCTTTACCGAAAAACCTGTACATAACTTCGATTTGAACGGAAAACCAGGATATTCAATCTACATACTTAGATTGGTTCATTCATTTTTCTAATTTGTGTATTTCATTTTATTTTTTAACGTTATTTCAGTTGTTTACTTTATTTTATTTCGTTACTTCATTTTAAATTTTTTACTTTATTTTTTTTCTTCACGTAATATAATTTTTCTTTGATTATTTCTTTTTATTTATTTACTTTATTTTAATTTTTTTTCCTTTGCTCCTTTACTTAATTTTAATGTTTTACTTTATTGTTTTTTCTTTACTTAATATTATTTTTCTTTGATTATTTATTCTTTATTTCTTCCCTGTATTTTACCGTTACTTACTTTATTTTATTTCTTGCAATTTTTTATTTTTTTACTTTAATTCAGTCACTTCATTTTAATTTTTATACTGCATTAAATATCTCTTCGTCGTTATTTATAACTGCATTTTATTTGTCTATTTTATCTTTTTTTCCTTTCATGTCGAGAATCAATTCAAAATTTTCAAACTAGGATTATTTTTATGATTGGCTAAAGTGCTTCTGGCAATGGACAAATAAGCCCAGGCTACTTACTGGAACAAGTGAGATTATGTAGAATAGAAAATAAAAAAATTACCCCTCTAAAGTACTGAAGCCTTGACATGGTGTTAAATATAGTGCATGCCTAGCCTACTGGTAAACCTGGGATGTTTAGCTTAACGACATCATACAATTGACAAGAAACATTGTTAAAACATTAGTACCAATTGATAAATTTCTGCCATTTCCTTAGAATTTAGAATGTAGAAAAACATTGATTTTGAAAACTATTATTAGTACCAGGGGCCTTTGGCCGCTACCCTGCCGACAACCAATGCGGAAGAAAACAACATACGTAAAAAAGTCGTAGAACAACCGTGTTCAAGTTATCTCGGAGATTAATGGATTCAAATACCGTCAATGTTTTATTTTTGATCAATGTTTTTAAAAGAATACACACTGTTATTCTAATGAGTTTCCGCAAATTTTCCTGAGTGATTTAAAATAGATAAAAGAAAATTTGACTTAAAACGCATAATATCCGAAATCTAAGCTCAGATTCGGCTTCCTCGTGAAAAATCGATGCAATTTCACGTATCATATGTCACCATATCATGAAGAAAAGAGATTAACGTAAGCGTGTAGATTCTAACATATCAGTCCGACGTGGCAACATGGGTGATTCGGAGTGGGTCAGCTGATGAGTAAGAAGAAGTTTGTTTTCTCGGAAACGGACGAACCAAATGCTTGACGCCGGCGTCTGGCGGCGTAGCTCAAACGTTTGAATTCTGTGCCTACTTCCGCATACCGGCCGGCTTTGATAGAATCTTTACGCCTACGATTACCCTCTTTTCTTTATGCTATGGAACATATGATAAATGAAATGGCATCGATTTTTCACGAGGAAGCCGAATCTGAGCTTAGATTTTGGGTATGATGCATTTCAAGTTGAATTATCTGAATTGGAAAATTTAAGACGGCGGACGTAGCCAAAATTGCTACATCGGCTCCCATTCCATCGATTTAATTCGAATTTTTAGTCTAATTTCGAAAATTCGAAAAACCAAGGTGGCGGGCGTGGCCTAAAACGCTATATCGGTCCCTGCTCGTCGGATTTTCGTAAAACTTGGTGCCACGGGGAGGGGGGGGGAGGAAAGAAATTTTCAAACACTGCAATCGATATGTCGCAGGCAAATAGTAAAACAAGTTGGATTTTGCAATCGCTAGCGATAGCAATATTCGTCATGGGAACGTTAGCTTCTGGGATATGAAAATGTTAAGGTACAGTTCGTTTGTAGTATCTTCTGAATTGAAGGGGCTATGTAATTTTGTGTTGACATCTCTTTTTTAACATTTTTAATTATTTTCTTTGCATACAAGAAAGCTGTTATGTACCAATTATTTATTTTCGTTGGATTATATATGGTTTTCGGAAGTTAACGCATTTAAGTTTCAGGTTCGCTTTTTCGGCGTAAAGTATACATAAGGTGTCCCAAAAGCACCGGGACTTGTTCTGTAACTTCGAAAGTAAGATAGATACAGACATGATCTTGATTTCATTTTAAAGATCAACTCAATACCTATCGATTAAAACCAAGATCAGCTCAATCGGATAAAAATTGACCGAGTTATGGCAATTTGAAATCAGCGAGGAAAGTTTACGCCTACGGTTTTTAAGGAAGATTCTTCATCGCCGTAAATCGAAAAGTCGGCCGATAAAGTGATGCTTATTGTGTTTTTTTATTTTCGAGGTGTCATTTATCAACATTTTGTACCATCAAACACAACAGTTGACAGTGCGTATTATTGCAAAGTACTAAAGGAGTTGAGAATGCACATTTCCCGGAAACGGTCGGACTTGAAAGCTTCGTGGATACTCCATCAAGACAATGCGCGGCCTCACACATCGAGCTTAACACGTGAATTTATGAGTAAAAATGGAGTTGAAACAATCCCTCATCCCCCTTATAGCCCTGACTTGGCTCCATGTGATTTTTGGATGTTTCCTACGCTTAAAAAGGAGCTTCGCGGACGAAGATTCGTATCGAAGACCGAAATCCAGAATGCAATTCAAAACTTCTTCAACTCCATCCCAGAGGAAGAATTCAGGAAAACAATGTTGGATAAGTGGCAAGAGCGCATGAAAAAGTGCATCCGGTTTGATGGACGGTACTTTGAAAAGCAAAAGGAAGTTATGGAAGATTCGGAGGAAAGTGGATACGAATATTAACTTTTTGAATCCTGGTAAGCGAAAAATCTTCCTAAAAACCGTAGGGGTAAACTTTCCTCACTAATTTCAAATTGTCATAACTCGGTCAATTTTTATTCGATTGAGCTGATCTTGGTTTTAATCGATAGGTATTGAGTTGATCTTTAAAATGAGACCAAAATCATGTCTGTATCTATCTTACTTTTGAAGTTACAGAACCAGTCCCGGTACTTTTGGGACACCCTACGTATGATATTTTTACTCTACACATATGCCCGAATACGCATCATAAGGGACCTATGTGCTTCCTAAGTTGCCAAGTATTAATTATTGTTAGATTATTGGTCTAAAACATTCAATACAACCAGTAAAAATTAGCTGTCCCCTACGAGATTCGAACCCCCGCTCGCACAAAAAGTGACACTCTCCCAGAGTCAGAACAGTGGCTTAGCTAACTGAGCTATCTCGCCGGTCGGATGTTGGTGGAGAAAATGAGAACAGTTAAGTGATCTCGGACGCTGAGCGGGGCTTCACAAAAGACGTCCTTGAGATTTCAACGGTTCGGCCACTGGCGTGATAAGAGACAAATGGATCAAGCGCATTACTCTGTGAGACATTGTTTACCTATGCGGTCATGTGTCACAAGGTTCATCTCAGTATGCATTTGCGATCGCGGCAGTAAGCTGAGGCAATATTTCTGTATTCATGGATTAAATCCATCAATCGAGTTCTGATTTTGGCTCATATATCCGTAACGGGTCCTCCAGAGCAATTTTCCACCTTGTACGATGGTTATTATTTCTTTACATCTATGTTTAAAATTTGAGGTGGGATAATGGCGGCTTCTCAAGAGCAACGAGGTAGGCGATCTTTTGCACCAACGAACAGAAAACTGATGGCGAAAAATAACCAATCAGAACCTCCCAAAAAAAAGAATTTGCCTAAAAACGGAACTTCGTGGTTCTGCGCAGATTTACCAGTCAGACACGACATCTCAAGGTGGAAAAAAACTCGCTGAAAGCGAATTTTAGCAATCAACACAACTTGACGTAGAGACATGATTGGCTAAAAAATACAACGGTTTTTGATACATCGGAAAATCAACCAAAAATCGGAGACTGGGCGAAACGCTCAAGGTCGCAGAGGTATAGGGATTCCCATAGCGAAAGCAACGGAACGATTCTAATATCATGGGGAACTCCGTTCCCATGACAATTAGGCATTTCGTCAAATGCCTAGGCAAATAGTCAAATTACTAGGGGGCTATGCCCCCTGACCGCTACGAGGTCCAGCCCCCTGAAGGCGCTCCGCGCCATCAATGGGCCGCTTCGCGGCCCTATTTTTACCTCCTATCAGTGTTAGTTTTATTTTTTCCCTCAAAAATTACGATATGAGGTATACTTTACTCTTAGAATGAAATAATTTTTTGTTTTGATGAATATTTTAGTTCGTTTTAATCCGTTTTTTTAAATCAGTGAAAAATTTAACATCGTCCGAGTTTCTGAATTGTTGTAAAATAAATGCCCTTTAATTTTCATTAAAACCGAGCAGAGTCAAGAATAATTAATTGCGCAAAGTCATATAGTTTTGCGGCAACTTTACCGTCGCCCGAGCCAGGGACGGGTAAAGGAGTACGCTCCACGAACATATTATTACACGCTTATCAGTCACACAAGGTGGGTTGAATATGAATTCTTGAAAATTTATCAACATATTTTCCCTAATCAGCCTCTATCTGATTGCTTTCTTTGGTGACTCAATGTTGGTAAAGCGTAAAAAATTGACGGGGCAGACTACTAACAAAATACTTTAATTGAGTTATCTGAGATGGTGACCTTCATAATCAACAAGTTTATAATTTGCACTAACGCATTCTGTAGTTCAATGAGCCCACTTAACCGAGTAGCATCAACCAAAAACAAGATAGGTGAAGCGCAAGCGCACTCTTTGGTGCAATGAGTCAACTTGATGGAGCAGTTTACCATCAATTTTGTCTCGGTGAACAGATTTGTAATAGCTAGTAGCAACTAATTGAAAATGATTGATTTCCCTAAAGACGTTGTGGAAAATACAATGCCGATGGTTATTCTATCAATTTTTTCATGTATACGGCACCAACTTTTAATTAACAAAACCAAGATGGCTATCCGCGCACAGTCATTTTTTTCCGTGATTACCATCAATTTGGAAACTGGGTCAGAATTGATCCCAGACCTGATGCGTTGGTTCCACAAAAAGAATGACTCCAGCCTGAGTCAATCTTTAAGCCAGTTCCTATAAAGGTCAAAGTTAAATATTCCGTAAAGGGTAAGCATTGTGAGGGCACCACGGTAGGGGGTGGGATGGCCTGAAAATTTCTTTTCGGCAATCTTGATCAATTCCAGTGCATTTTTAAGATTTTTCTAAGTGTACTTCCCATGGCCTGGCTCTGAGGCCTAGGGGAGGGGGGAATTAAAATAAAGAAATGAGCCTCTGGATCTATTATAGAATTACAACCCTAAACATTTCAGAGTCTTTATTTCGAGTTATATTTCGTAAACTAAGTCTAGGATGTAAAGGATGTTCTTTGGCCCAAGGTATATGTCCGGAAATCTGGCGGACAAGGAAAAAAATTGCTGATTCAACGATTAAATTGTTAAAAAATATGTCCGACATGTTTCAAATGTACATTTTACACTAGTGGAAAGCTAATTCAACATCGAAGGTGGTTAAATTAGCATTTTCTTAAAGTAACATCTACATAGAAACACGCCGGACACTTTTTTTTACTACAAAATTGTTTAATCTGCAAATTTATTTTTTTCCGCGATAAATTCCAAATGCAGCGTCCTTAAATATTTCGTCGAAAAATTCGAAAAGAACGTACCTACCAGTTATCAATTTTCTGCCAGAGTGTCATGCGGTCTGTATAGGGATCCATAATCGACGGAACGTACGAAAGGTGGACCTTACTCCCGAGGAAATTCTCGTTGAGATAATCTATAGATAATGTTGACATCGTAATGATTGGTTTCCCGCTTTCGCCATTCAGATATCTGGACATGGCACATGTGAATGGCATAAAGAACGCTTCAGTTATGATGACGTCGAATTTGATGTTTTCATCTTTGACTCGCCTGTAAGAAAAGGGCTTTCATTATAAAAAAAGCTATAAAACATCACAGGACGCTATCTTAATGATTTCATGAATTTGGATATTTGTCAGGATCGCGATTACCTATTATTATCACGATTGTATAATTGTTCATATTTTGCACTAAAGCGTTTTTTGACAACAATATTAGAGGAAGCAGAATTGACACGAAAAGATCTCGGCGGCCGGTGGTTACGTAAATTATTACTTCGCCTTCAATTTTTAAAATAGGCCAAATAATAGCCTCTGTGTTGCAATTTGAGGACATGCATGTGTCATTTGTCGCCCACAAACCTTACTTCGCTAATAACGTTTCACTCTAAACTTTCATTTGGACGGCATTAAAGAGAATTAACCATAATACACTTGACATTGCTTAATCATCTTCATGTTTTATTTTTTTAGACAAAAAACTGAATCAATTAATAAAACAAAATACTACTTTATGTCCTCTGTTTCTGTTGACACAGAGCTGTATTGCGCCTCTTACAACTTCTATTTGCCTGGTTCTATCACATATCATTAGGTATCATGGTATGGTTCGTTGGCTAATACATTTATTGTAGATGCCTCATATGCCATACCACATCTATGGCTAAAGTGCGAAACCTCGTATCTTCATCGCGGTGTTTCAAAATTTCCGCTCCAATTTTATTTTTTTCGAAGAAACACAAGACCACTTTATAGCTGAAAATTTTCACAAAATATCCTGCTCACAAAGAGGAAAATTCACGGAAATTTTCAAGAAAAGATTATTTTTCCAAAGAGACAGCAAAGTTTGACAGGAAGTCTGCAATGTCGCGAACGAAAAAACGTGGTTTCGCACTTTGGCCATCGAAATTTAAAATAATTTAAAATTGCCGTGGCTACACGACACGACGCAATTTTATGAATAAAATACAATTTTAAATTATCAAATCCTAAGTTTGAGTGAAATATCGTACCTTTGAAAGTCCAGAAATTCTTTCATCTTGAATTGATGCACTGGGATGTAGGCAAACGACTGCGCTTCCTTCCAAAATTCCCACTTGTCCCATTGTTTCTGCAAATTTATACCTCCCTCATTCTTTCCCTCCTCTCGTTGCAGCAACCAGTATGAGTCAGAGAGATTCACAAAGGTGTAATTATTCTCCAGTCCCTGTTGCAAAAGTGAATTTTATCGTCAACTGCATTCTTAGAAACATGGACCGAATAAATCCGAAAGATGCCGATCCATATTTTGAAAATATTTGAGTATAGAGTATTTATTTGCCGTTGAGTGGCCATACACTTTCTCCTGTTAAAAATTCAAAGTCGAGAGCGAATCAGTGGCGTGGCAGCGTGCTTTGCGAAATATCGATTGATCTGCCATTTAAAACCGATGGAAAGGAATCGATTAACAGTGTGTCCGCAACGAACACCTTCATAATCGATTTTTCACCATAGCTTCAAATGGGGAGATATCGATAATCGATCATTCACGCCTCGCCACTGGAGCGAATATTCAGATCGTAAAAGGAGTTTAAATGTATGGTTACGCTCAGCACCATGTAGGAACATAAGTTCAAAGGTCCAGTGTTCAGAACCAGTGGTAGCTGGTCTTTGTTCATAGAGAAGACTAGCGCGTTCTCTCTAATCGACGTTGCTTCAAGCGCCGTGGCACGCTGCGGCGCGGAGGGCGGGCAGCCTGCGCGAAAAGCGCATTAGCGCCTTCAAACCTAACAGGGATACTTCACGCATTGCGCAATGCGTGAGGTATCCCTGTTAGGTTTGTAGGCGCTAGTGCGCGCTTATCGCTGGCATCACGCCGCTCCGCCCTGTGTTAGGCTCCAATATATACGTATAATCTCGCGGAGTCAGCGTTTTTAAACTTATGATTTTGAAATGTTTGCACATCCTGTATGGATTATTCTCATTTTAATTGATGAAAAAAAATATGTATGAAAGGAAAATATATAATGTGTGTTTTGTAAATATTATGGTGGTTCCGTATCAAACTTAATGATTTCCAAAGCACACGAATTTTTACACAATCTCTTAAAGCCTTTTATAGCCGATGGCGATAAAGTGTAAAGCCCGGCGATAGGAATTATAGCCCGGCTGTATACTTTTTTATCGCCTCGTATAGCCTGGCTATATGATTTGCTCCGCTTTCTACAGCCAGCTATATGATTTTCTATTGCCTTCTTTAGCCGGCTTTAAGAATTCCTATGGTATTTTGAAACGCAGCTCCTATCGCCGATTTTTACCAGGGGATAATTGTAATAAAGTCGATTTTCTGTTCATAAAATATCCTTGCCATTTTTATGATTTTAGGCTTTAAGGATAAAAATGAAATTCTTTATTCTTCGGTAAGACTCGTCTGTATGGCTTAATTTTTACTGGGAGTTCCACTTCTATGCCCATTATGTCCCATTTTTTCTCTAAAATTGCTAACGTTAGATATATGATGGACATTGCTTACCGGAACTACATTCGGACTGACAACGAAAAGGTCGTGACCTCTTTTTATAAGCGCCTCGGTGAGGACCATAGCTGGTTGCTGATGACTGAAGGATGGCGTTGGGAAAAAAATCAAGATCTTGTAACCCTCAGTAGCGTACCCACATAGTAGGAGGACCAAAGTTGATATCGCAAACATTTTGCTGGAAAATATCTTCCCGGCTGCTCAGAAAATAAACGATGTTTTAAAAAAAAGATTCTACCAAAAAAGAGTTAGTTAGTTAGTTATTTTATTTAGACGTATCACTATAAGCGATTACTTATATATTTGTGTCTCATTGAGCCGTAGATTACATTGCAAATGATCGGTTGAGTTCAGAATTTTTTGGAAGACCATAATTTGAGCTACATTAAAGCAAATTTACTCGGATGTTGCTTTTGCATCAGTTGGCAAGTATTCCGAAATTGCATCTTATTTTCGGAAAAACAAGCTTATCAACTCTGTTGGCTCACTTTTCACGTGCGAAAATTGAATGTCAGCTATGCATTGTTATACTTTAAAGTGTTGAAATACTGTTTTGCGCTGAGAATTTTGTTTTAAACATTCACGAGTGATACTGCTGGGAAAAAACACCTTCTCACTAAAAAGAATTTACATTAAGTCGCAAAATATAAGGGCTGAGATTATACGTAATTTAACGTCCCATTTGATTTAATTAGAAATTTTTATAATTATAGTTTTACTAATTTTATAATTTTTAAAAATTTTTATAATTTTTTAATTTTACTATCGTGAATTTTAGTTTTAAGTTCCAGCACGGTTTTGCAGTTAAAATCAATATGCGAAAAATGACTCACCTGTCCTCGCACCCCAAAAAAAAGGAGAAAAAAAATATGTAATTAATTTTTTCAGGCTTCCGCTGAACCTTTGCTGCGAATAGTCAAAACTTCGTCTTCCCGCACCCGTGACATTAAACGAAGAGGTTTTTCTCGATCGGCTCTTCAAAAAGTGTCTGCACTAGACATGCACCAGCACTTCCGTATTAAAATTTCGGATAGACTTTTGAGACTGATAACACAAGACCAAGCTCAGGAGGAAGGCGCCAACCTGGCCTTGGGCTCGCTCGAAGAAAAAATGTATAGGAACTGCGGACAGGATATAATAATATAATTGTTGACGGATTGCTCGAGTGTTGGGTGCAACTGCCGCTTACCTTGAACGATGAACGTGCAGCTCACGTTTCAGCCTCTCGGCGGTGAGTAGCACGATGAGGTGCTGTCATTAATTCGCGTTTCATTTAAATACGCGGCTCCCACCATTAAAACTAATTTACGCCTCTTCGCTTCAAGATGGTCCACGAGGTACAACGCACGACAATTTTCATTTAAAAATCAGGGAAGAGCTATTCATATTCATCTGTTGAGTGCGGAGATTTGGACTCTCATTCTAACCCCCCCCCCTCCTCCCCACGCCCCTTTAAAGTAAAGATTTGGATGCCCTCAGAATCAAATCACACGGGTGTTTCAAAATTTCCATTTCAATTTTGAAGTTTTAAGAAATTCCGTCGAACAGTTTTCCAAAGAAAAATAATAAAGTATGACAGGGGATCTGCAACGTTACAATTGGAGATATGTGGTTTTGCACACAAGCAATCGAAATGCTGCTTCTAAGGGAATATTTCCACCATTAAATACAGGGTTATCCAAAAGTCACTGACCACCCCTGTAACTTTTTTCCAAATTGAGATAGAAGTTTGAAACTTTGGGAATGTTCCTCGGTCTAAAGTAGCAACTTTTTGGTCCCCCCAAAATTTTGGGGGGCGGCCCCCCTAAGGGGGGCGGGGGCTAACTTTTTTTTTTCAAATAGCAAACCCCCCTTTTGTGATACCTCATTCGAAAGATAATAAAAAAAGAAAATTTTTGGCGCAAACCGCAAGTCAAAATGTTGATTTTTGACAAAATGGCGGCCGGTCAAAGTTCAAAATGGCGGAAATTTGGCATCTCCGTTGTTTATTGACGGATTGGTGTGAAACTCGGAATTCTAGGGTTTTTTGAGATGAGAAAAACGATTCTGGCATTGGTTTTCCAGAAAAGTCAGTCTTTTGCAAAATGGCGGCGGTCAAAATGGCGGCCTAGAGCGGGAAGTGGATATTTAGGCTGCATATCGTTGGATTTGCATGAAACTTGGTATCCGGGGGTATTTCGGCACGAGAAGAACGAATCTTTCATTGGATATCTGAAATTTTGACAAATTCCAAAATGGCGGCGGAAAAATTGCGGGAAATCAGTTTTACGGCTGTTTACCGATGGATTTGCATGAAATTCGATATCCTGGCGGTTTTTGGCTGGATTAAAAGGAATCTTTCATTAGATTCTTGAAATATCAAATAATTTCATGCAAATCCATCGGTAAAGAGCCGTAAAACTGATTTCCCGCAATTTTTCCGCCGCCATTTTGGAATTTGTCAAAATTTCAGATATCCAATGAAAGATTCGTTCTTCTCGTGCCGAAATACCCCCAGATACCAAGTTTCATGCAAATCCAACGATATGCAACCTAAATATCCACTTCCCGCTCGAGGCCGCCATTTTGACCGCCGCCATTTTGAAAAGGACTGACTTTTCTGGAAAACCAATGCCAGAATCGTTTTTCTCATCTCGAAAAACCCTAGGATTCCGAGTTTCAGACCAATCCGCCAATAAACAACGGAGATGCCAAATTTCCGCCATTTTGAACTTTGACCGGCCGCCATTTTGTCAAAAATCAACATTTTGACTTGCGGTTTGCGCCAAAAATTTTCTTTTTTTATTATCTTTCGAATGAGGTATCACAAAGGGGGGTTTGCCATTTGGAAAAAAAAAGTTAGCCCCCGCCCCCCTTAGGGGGGCCGCCCCCCAAAATTTTGGGGGGACCAAAAAGTTGCTACTTTAGACCGAGGAACATTCCCAAAGTTTCAAACTTCTATCTCAATTTGGAAAAAAGTTACAGGGGTGGTCAGTGACTTTTGGATAACCCTGTATATGGATTGCATTTTGCAAAAAGGAACCAGCAACATTGCAATGATGCATTGCAGTGATCGTGCAACTTCACCCTTCGCAATAGAAGTACTGAAACCATGAAAAAATGTGAAATTTACATGGTAATTTTTGTCTTAAATTTACAGTTTTTAGCGAGCAAAACAGAAACTGTTAGTGGATGATCAGGTTTTTCTTCCCAGGAAAAAGAAGTTGCACAATCTTTGCATCATTGCAATGCTCCCGGTTCCTTTTTGCAAAATGCAATCCATTTATACGTCTAATTCATCATTAGACTCCACGGCAGATAAGTTCATGCTCTTTTAAAGTGCGACAGAAGATCTGTCAGCTTGCCTCTTGCGTTTACTTCACATGAAAAAGTGACGTCAGAGGATCCTCTGTCGCAATCTAGAAGTGCGTAAACTTATTTAGCGAAGACTCTATGAAAGTGAATGCACGCATGCATGCATTTCATTGAAATTTTTACTGACTCACATCGATGCGGTGGGCGTAATGAAGGCACTCCTCGGTTGAGGTGTCTCACATTCTCCGTCGCTGATTTATCACATAGAGAAGAATCTCGTGCGTGATTTTACGCTATGGGACATTGTAGAATCGTGAAGAATATTCAGTGATCAATTACTAAACCAAATTAATAATTATTATTTAATCAATATATCGACGGTGTAAGTCGGCAATCACCTAACTCGGTTTGCGATGTCGCAGACTTCCTGTCATACTATATTTTTTAAACGGATAACTACTCAACGGCAATTTTCTACAACTGCAGTGATTTTTCTTTTCTGTGCGAAGAAAATTGAGGCACTGGATGCGAAAAGGGCACTTCTCGGTTGCAGTGTTCCAGATTCTCCTCTAATATTTCATTCATTTTAAGGAAAGTGAATGCACCCATTTCACTAAAAATTTCACTGAATATTCCTTATGATTCCGCAATTTTCTATGGAAAAAATTCTCGCAAAATCACCCATTAAATTCTTCTCCAAGGCAAGGGATTAATTGGACGGAGTTAAACAGAAAGGAACCAAGCCACATTGGGATCGAGCCGAGAAAAATAGGTTTAAAGTTTGGCTCCTGCATAAGACTCAATGTAAAAGATAAACTTCAAGTTCAATTTCTGCAAAATTTGCTCCAACAAAAACTTTGAAGTTTTGGTGATAGATAGTAGAGCAGTGGTTGAGTTCAAAACCACTCATAACTCAATTTTTTCCAAAATGTGGGTTGGTTCCTTTCTGCTTAACTCAGTCCAATTAGCAACAGAGATTCTGAAACACTGCAATCGAGAAGTGCCCTTCCCGCATCCAGTGCCTCAAGTCTTCAAAAACTTCAAGGAATTATGTCAATTTGTTCTCCTTTTAAAAGATACCTAACATAAAGACGGAGATTTTCAGACACCACGAAGGAGATATCGACGGTGAAACTACGAAACCACGTATCTCGGTTTGCGACGTCGCAGACTTCCTGTCATACTTTATTTTTTAAGTTAAAAGCTACTTAACGTCCAGTCTTGAAAATTTCCGTGATTTTTCCTCTTCGTGTGGAGAAAATTCTGTGAAAATTTCAGGGAATGATATTGATTTGGTCTACTTCAAAAAAATAAAATGTGAGCGGAGATTTTTAAACACCGCAAACGAGATACGTGGTTTGGTAGTTTCACCGTCGATATGTGATGGTGGACTTACGCCGTCGATATTTGCAATTCTTCCTATAGTTACATGTTTTTTAATGATAACGAGCGTAGCAGGTAAAGAGGTCCCCTTTAGTTTTTCTTACGAACCGTAAACGCTAGATAAAGACCAAATATATTTTGAAATTTTATATTCTCCTATTTTTAATTTGATCCCTAGTTTTTTAAAGTTCGACCACAGGCAGGCTATTTGTTAGGTACGCCAAATTCATCGATCATAATGCTGGTTCTGAATAAATGTAGGTATACACGGTAAATATGTTAAGAAACGCACGTCGGTGAAAATGAGATAATTTTGGTGAAGTTTTCATTACACGGTATCATTGAAGAAAATTATTTTTATCTTGAGGCTCTCAAAAAATTGCGACTTGCAATCCCGAATCGTTTGGGAGGTTTGTCCACGTGAAGTGTGCATCTACTCCACGTGATAACGCTTGCCCTCACGTTGCAGTTCAAATGCCCCACTTGAAAAGGCAAGGACAAGGGCAAGGACAAACCCCCTACTCTGAGATTTTTTATGATCAGTCATTGTAGTCCAGATCTTCACTTCAGTCTCGCAGCTCTTTTTAAAATTAGAATTGGCTCATCGCGATAGTTAGTTCATTCTTAAGGATGGAAACTGCATGATGAGAAATGAGATATTGACAAGAGATGTAAAACTTTGTGAAGAGTTGGTTCAATAACAAACTAACCCTCGACCGAACAATTCACAAGTTTGTACAATGGCTTCAGAAGTACTTGGATTTCGACAGCAAATATGTTGATAAGTACAAATCTGAGAGTAAAACGTAATTTGCATAGTTTTTTTTACGATGAACTCGTATTTGGTTGATGGCCGCATTTGAACCGTATTTAAATCATTTTCTTTTCAATGGTTCCAAAATAACAATTATTTCCCTTCATTCGAATGAATCAATCTTGGACAAAAAAAAATAAAAAATAAAAAATAAAGCAAAACCACTGATTCGAAGTGTAAAAATTCGTAACTTACCGAAGAAGATATTTTTCAGAATGCGATTTTGCTGGTTTGAGAAATTGGAGATTGAATTGGACGTATTTCTGTCAAACGGAAATAAGCGCCAATTTGAGTTCCTTTTGAGGAATTTAGCGCGTTCTGTCAAACGGAACCAAGCGCCATGGAAAAGCATTGCGAATATAGGACGGAATGAGCCCGCGCCCGGTTCCGCCACCAATCAAAGCTCCCCTCTACCTTCCTGCCCCTATGACGCTTAGTTCCGTTTGACATAAATACGTCCAATTTAGAGTAGAGTCTAAAAAGATTTTTGATGTCAGAGGAAAGGTTTTTTTTTTTTTTTTTTTTTTTTTTTTTTTTTTTTTTNTTTTTTTTTTTTTTTTTTTTTTTTTTTTTTTTTTTAAATTATCATAACATCTAGATTATAAAAGCGATGCTCGTTGAGCGTGACATAAAAATTAACAGGTAGAATAGTAGCATCAAAAGTT